TGGATCGCAGAGAGACACGGGATTGGCTGAGACCAGGTGGTCCAACATGTCTGCGCCCTAATCCGACGCCACACCACACCTCAGTCAAACCACATCACACCGCGCCACACAACGCCGGACTTTATGATAGCGTTTGTCATTTTGACATCTAGGTTTGCCCTTTTCCACTGAATTGAATATAATATGTTTGCAGGATGTCGCCTTATTGTAGACATCTGGCCTTTAAATATTTAAACCCATAGTTTTGGATGTTGAATGTAATTTTTTGTTGGTAAAGTTTTTGATTTCTTTGTGTACTTTCTATTAGTTTGCTTTACTACTAAACATTGGTTTAGAACATGAAATGGTACCTTTGGTTGGTGTTTGTATGCCGTTATTTAACTTCATTTATTCTATTTTGCTCACCGTATTAAGTCGTTTGTGCTTATGAGGTGAGGTTTTGTTATATTTTCTTGCTTTTTTGTATTCAGTTTCATCTCCTTAAGCGGTATCGACGAAAACTTATCATATCCTTTGCATCTGTTTATCCGCTCTAGACTTCGTGGCGTAGGAAAAATTGGGTATGGATGACAAGTCGACATCCTCGCCTGTTTCTTTTCCAGATCTTGGTGATGAGTTAATGCTTCTGAAATCTGCCTTTCCAACTGAACTGACTATAAACTCAAGGTTCGGTTTCTTTATTTTTCGTAATGTTGTCTTTGTTAGTGACCAAGGTCTTTTACTCACCGTCCAGATAACTCCCGGAGTTAGTAACGTTCCTGTTAACGTGCTTTTTGCTCTTAAGATATTTTGCCCGTTAAAGGTATGTATAATTCCGCAATACATCTTAAGTGTAGTACCCTTCTGTTTCGCCAGTCGTGACGATATCAGACCCAGTTGGATTGTCAGATTCGGCTTTGTCGGACCTTCAGTCAGATATCGCTGCAATTATTGAATCTCATGAAACAGAACTTGTTATTTTCCCTCTAATTGAGGTATGTACTACTTACTTTGTCCAGACAATAGGTATTCGTCGTTCTACGAATATAGTTTAACTAGGGTGCGCTGGTTAGAGATCTGCAATTTAGGGATCTTTTTGTTTTCATTATTTATGTATTAACAACCTGAAGGGTCAAATTTGAGTCATGCTATTTCTTTCCCAATATGTGTGACACTAACAACCAATATCAGTAAGTCGAATTCACGCTTGATTACAATTGATGCGTCCTCAGTAACATTGTGGAAATGCGCTATTTGCATTAGAGGTGGTTGTTTCTATCCTAAAAAATGTGTTGGGAATACCCTGTCGTTTGCGTAAAAACGGTTGCTGAGTGCTCTCAAACATAGTCTTCGGTTTATGTTCAGCAGCTCTTTGATGTTTCGCAATATTTTTTTCGGATAAAATTGATGACGTGACATAGTGCAAAAGTAGATTGTTTAAAGGTATTCCTTTATTGTGCCTCGTTTTGCAAACTGTGAACTGCGGTCGCACATTTCAGTGGATTTGCACAATCTCTACGTATATGTTAACATCAAGTAATTGAACATTGGGGTGCATCAGTGTTACCGTTGATTTTAAAATTCCACCCATCAAGCCTGTCTTAGGTAAAGCATTCATCACTTCATTCCGTGTTGTTTATTTTATTCATGTGGCTGCACTAGTGGTGACTGAGCTTCCTGAAAAATACAGGTCGGCTGCATGATTATTTTGCTGGTTGGTTTGCGTTTATGGATGCGATCTTGTAAGTTTAGGTACCGTTTAATTGAATTTCTATAAGATAATCGTAAGCCTCTTCGCCTTTTTCAGTGCTGCCGTGACTTTATTTCGGGCAATATTCCGTCTGTGGATTGTTCCATATGCTTTGATGCCTTTCAAACAGAGAGTGATGTCTATAGGTCCCGCTGCAACCACTTTTTTCACAAGGCGTGCATCTCTGCATACCACGACAGCTTCCGGAATGCCCACAATCACGAAATGGCCCTACTTCTTGCCAAAAATCCGCACTGTCCCAAAGAAATGAGACCGAAGTTTGAGGTAACTCCTGTTTGAATTTTCCTTGTCGGTAGATGTGGATAAACACAGGCTGTTTTTTTGTATTTGGCGTCGTCCGTGTACTTGAATTAGCCCCCTACACTTAACCACAACCGTTCTTGTGAGCGGATTTTCTGTCTTCATCCGGAATGCCTTTGATTGGGGTTAGCACTCTACCTCTCGTTGTGCAACGTAGACTTAGGGGATCATTAAGAAGCTGTCAACACGGACTGTGACCCAAGTTTTTCACCAGGGTAAAAACTTCATATGCTGTATTTAAAACTCCATGTCGTAAAGTGTGCTCAAAACAGCCGCAATCGTCCTTTTGGATACGGTGCATAACTTATCGTTGAGTTGTTAATCTATCATGACCTACTGTTTTGCTGGCATCTGCCATCATTCTGTGCTTTCGTTCTTTTTTGTAGTTTCTGTGCCCATTGTGCAAAACCATTCTCCATCCGGCGGTCGATCTTCCTGAAGACTTTAACTCTTTCCATTCTTGAATGTTTTGCCCACTTATTATCATTCAGATTAACTTCGCTGATGCTTTTTTGGCTTTCAAGAGTTTTGTTATAAGTATAACCCATTCTATTTTGTCGAACCTGTCTTGTTATTATTCGACTCCTGTGTGGTTCAGTGAGTAGGTCCGAGCAAGGTGCTCAATCAGGCAACTTTTTCTGTCATTTGTTTCGGTTCTAGCTCCAAGAAAGTCTGCACCTCAACAGATTAAATGACCTCTGTTGTCGAAGTGTTAAGCAAACGAAAGACTTCAAACGATTGAACACTTTCCTCGAAATGCAGATTATGGTGATTAGTGATGCTTTGTCACTTAATCAGACCTAGTTGAGTTTTAAGGATATTTTTTTGTTTAATATGGGTCTAGTGTTTTCTGTATTGGCGAAATCGGTACGTACCAGTGACAACTGTGCTAGAATTTATTAATTATTGGCTTGTGCGCTCGGCAAGTCATGTTTATACTTAAATCACATTGTGCAACCATCGTAAGCAAATTTGAAGACGTTATTGGCTTTTAAGTGATCGCCAAAATTGTGTTGAAAAAGAAAGGTTGTCAAATCTGCATTTTTAGTGCCCAAAAAACCTAGAACATGGCTCGTTAAGCGGTCATCTTCATATTGGCTAGGTTACCCTGGGCATGTGCAGCAGTTGGGATAATGGTAGGGAGCTGGTTGGTTGAGTTTCTCTTTTGTGGTTGGCTGAAGTCTACGAGTCTGCATGTTGTTTCTTACCTCTGCCGCTTCTTGCGTCCATTATTGTTAACTTGTTGAACGTGAATGCGTTTTTGTATGCGATTTATTGAGTATGTTTGATTGTTTTTGTGATATTATTGTATGTTCAGTCAGTTTTGAAAGAGTACATTCCTAATTTCTCAAAAGTGTGGTCATCCTTTTATCTGTAGAGCCGTAAAATCATTGAACTATAAATGCCAATTGAAATTCATTTTTTAAAAAATTTGGGTCATGTCCTTATATCCAGTCACATCACGTTTCAAATCCATAATTGTCGCTTTGTTGTCCTGCCAACAGAATATTTATTGTCACATAGCTGAGTATCTGCAATTAAAATTATCTTTGAATATTATTGTACACAGAAGGCACAATTGATGAATTTTTTAGGAACCTGTGGTAAAAAGTAAATTAGAAACTATTTTGAGGTTGGTTCCTATGTTTCCATTAGTATGGGTAGAGTAAAAAAGCTTTGGTCACAGCACAAGACACTCAAGGCACGACACCAACTTGTTACTGCACGAATATGTGGAACGCCAGTTTGTTTTAAAACTATAGTACCTAAAGCACCCACAAATACGTGACCCGATTAGTTGCCACCAAATAAAACCAGCGATCGTTGATCTGCTTTCACGAACCTTTATTTTCTTATAATTTTGTTTTTGCCACTTTAACCTGGTTAGTTACACTGAAATTCCAATGGGTTTTTGTGAGATTATGAGCAACTAGAAGCAAGCAAAATTGAAATAAACACGAAAGTAAACAAAAAATACTCTAAAATTAAACATGCTTTAGCAGCTGGTTTAGGATGGCATGGTAATGACCTCACAATTATTTTAACAAGCACTATGCATTGCTCTGAGTTAATAAAAATGGTTTTATTTAGTTGTGGTTCACAGACTGTTGGTCATGCCTGCGAGGTTTATAATGAAATTCGTTTTAATCTTATTCAATAATGCTTACAAAAAGCTATTTCCGCTTACTGAACTGTAATTAACTTAAAAAGGGCTAGCTTAGGTTAAAATTGGTATTTGCCAAGTCTGACTTAAAACAATATCTGCCAGCGACAGTTGTATTAAGTGAAAGTTCTGATTAACTGTTAAGTCTAAATTTGATTAGCTTGCTATTTATAAGTGACGCCGGCCAAGTCATGATTGTTTCAAGAGTATACGTTAATTTGAGTTCCAAGTTCATAGCGATTGTAGTTTATTTCTGCGAATACTGCAATGCACTTTCTCACGAGTGAAATCTGCCAGCGAATTATGGTGCAATAATTTGGAGGTTTAAGCGTTTGGATATTTAACAGATGTCGGCTTTGGTTTGATGTACTCAATACTGACATAAGTGATTAGTGCCTTTTGTGTACTCATAATCTTAACACAGTTTGCGTTTGGCACTAGAAATATTACTTCAACTACCAGTGTGCAGTAGTTCCTTGCCAACAGCTAAACTTTTGATCTGTGCATCTGTGATTTTATGATACCAAAATTTACAGTGTGAGCCACCACTAAGAACTTTGTGCTTTTAGGGAGGCTTGATGTTGGTGCACCTGAATGAGATATTCTTGTGTATGAGATACTGAACCCAAATATTAACTTCCCAAACCTCTTAGTACTAAATTGCTATTTTAAAGGCGCAGTCTGATTGTGCTTCATATGTGCTAGCATGCCTTTTGACTATTCAATGAGTAAAATCAAAAATAATGTCAAACTGTAGATTTTGGTCAGGCTAGAACCTGTCTACATTTAATCTTGATCGTCAAGCAATTCACTTGGCAATCTCTGTAGTAAACTGAATGATTTATGAGCTGTACTAGCATGAAAAAAAAAATTCGGAATCCTAGAAATGGCACTTTTTGGTCAAGAACGTTTCCTGAGGCTTGTGCCATATTTAAGTTAGAAGTTTTGTTTTTAAAGCTCAACACGGGTTTTCGAAATACTACAATTTTCCTTTAATGGAAACGCATCTTATGAAAATCAGTCCAGATGGACTTCAATGATCGTTTAACCACTTTGCTGTTGTTAATGAAACAAAAAATACTCATAGACATGCCTTTTGTCACGCCCACGCCTAAGGTACAACGCCGTGCGATTCTTTTCCCAACTTTTTTACCAGTTAAACTGGATTCCTGAATTCTCCCATAGCTACAACCTGAATCTATCTTAGCAATTGGATGCTGTTAACTTAAAATATGAGCAAGTCTATTTGGTTTTTGTTAGTTGACTAAAGCTTTCTGCCAGAGTATGGTATTGCTGACGGTGCATTTTGTTAATTGACCACAAATAAACGATTGCGCTTGTTTTTACAGCGATTATTGCAAGATTCTTGGCAACTCAAACGATTCCGTCTGTGTTAATTTACCCTTTATAAAAGCAACCTAAAAATCCCTTTTAAATAGTTTTTTAGGGTCTTAAATATCTTGGTTTTTGTGAAATATTTGTTATGTGAGCAAGGCTAACATGCGCACGATTTTAGCCTAATGTCAAGTACTTGTTATCTTACGCAACAAAGACTTTCTCTCAGGATACAATGGAAGCATCTAATGATTTTCTAAAATGCCTGTTTTTTTTCTTACAGTTGTTCTGACAAGAAACACCTTTCTGAGTAGCTAATTGAGAATGTACGTTTTTTGGGAAAGATGAGTTTTGGTTCTTATGCTTTTAGCGTAATACTACAGACCCTTATTCTTAGGACATGTCAAACCTCTTAACGAATGGTGAGTTTGGCAAGGTTTTTTTCAGTGCTGGCTAGCGTTTACAGAATGCAACTCAATTAAAGATGTCTTGAAGTAAAGCCCTACCGTTTTTGTAACTTTAGGGGTGCCTTTTTCCTTATCAGTATACTGATACTCGTCGTTCTATTGGGCCTTCGATTCAAATACTGGCGAGAGGGTGAGCTAAGACTGAACAAAGCAGGTGGGCCTTTACTGACCTCATCTGATGTCGTTGTGGCAACACTCAAAGATCCCCAGGCTGTGGATTTGCCAATTCCATTCTTTAGTATTTGCAATGCAAATCCAGCCAAGTAAGCATACCTGTTCAAGAAACATTACTTGAAGAGGTTTATAATACCTAGTTGATACACAATTCATTCTTACATGGTTTAACAGGAAATGCGTACCAGAACAACCCAAGGGAAATCATTATAAATCTTTTATCAAACAGTGTCGAAAAACAGTAAAAGTAAAAAGAGATCAATCATTTTGAAACTACTGGCCCTGAACTCTACTTGAAATAGGCACTGGACGTCTAATATCCTTCTCTGTCTCAAAGTAAAAGTCGCTACTGAAAAAGATAGGGTTAGTAGAGCAAAATAACAGTACTTGCAAACCCCCAACTGCTTAAGAAGTTCAATATCTTGATGAATAATGCATCGTAATATTAACAAATAGGTGCTATTTCGAGTAAAATGTAACAGAGGTAGTAGTAGTAGTAGTCAGAAACACGCTAGAAAGGTTTACAAAAGCAGACAAAAATTGATTTTAAAATGTGATTACTATTTCGTACGAATTATCTTCTAAGTGTTTAAGGCTTCAGCAGTGCAAACTGTAGCGGCCCTAATTAGTCCAAAAATGAACCCAAATAACAATATAGTAGGACTTAAGCACAATAATTTGCTCAGATGAGGTTATTTTGTGTCTTTTTAAGGGGGTCGGTTCTGTTTGGAATGCATTCTGCAAAGCAGAAGAGCCCAACTTGGTATGAGACATTCCTGGATGCGCATTTAGCCCATCCTCTGTCTAAAACTCCCGACACGGCCAAGCAAACGTCCAACTTCTACCATATGCTCAACCACACCGCACATGACGTCAAAAATATGCTTCTTGAGTAAGTCTTAGTTACTCTGTGAAGGTTCCCTAAGATTCAAGTCCGATTGTCAATTGAAACAGACAAAATTTGAGTCTGGTGTGTATTTTTTTGGTGAAGTTTGTTATTTTGGTTTTCATTAAACGACTAGATTTCTCTTGATATATGTGGAATAGTGCAATGTGAAACTTGATTTAGACTTCCACCATGAGATTTCCAATGGGCTCTCTGCCGGTAGGACAGATGCCTCGATTCTGGAAAACGCACATAAATTCTAGAAATTGCTTGCGCAATTTAATTTGCTGTTTTGCCAATTACACATAGAAATGGCGATAGAAGGGAAATAAATCCATTTAAAATGATCTTAAAAATTCCGGTTTGAATGCGCTTGGATTTGTCTGCCATTATTCCACTTTAATTCCGACTGTCTTTTTAATTTGCGTCATTTTCGGCATTATTACTGAATCAGTAAAAAGTAAAGTGCCTAGCGTTCTCTTCCGTTTATAACGAATCTCCATGCATGATTTTCAGATTACCCTAGTCGGCACGGCATATCTCATAATCCTTGTTTTCAGAAGCCGGTGTGCAGAAAACCATAATTTTTGTGCAATTGCTAGGTAAAGTTTTGCATAGGTGTAGAATTTGAGTCTAAAAGTGAAGCATTGTCCTTTCCAATCTACTTTTTGTGAAGTCGGCGTTTTTCCTTTTATAGTCATATTAGCCCACAGTTAGGGTAACTCGCCACTACTTGAAAAGAGAAGTGTGGCAGCAGATTGGCAGTCTTGAACACAACTTCAGCACAATAAAAATAGCTTTTAGTTACAAATTGATTGCACCAATATGAAATCCTAACCTGGAACTTTAAATTACCAGAAAATATGCTTACATCTGATCCTCACAAAATGCACCCTGTGCAGTCTCAAAATGAATCAAACTAACAGTCACAGTTGTTAGAAAATAAACGTCTTAATCGCATCCATTTGGCTGGTGTGAAGAGTTTTAACTTTTGTTTTCAACCTGATTATTAAACAGATGATTAATTTCTTACTAGTTAACATGACATTAGGACAGCTATCAAAACAGAGCGAGTCACATGCCCTTTTTTTAAGAATTGTCTTTCGAAGAATCAAGGGTAAACTGGAAGAAGAAAGATTTTTGTCTTTTTTGTGTCTAGTTGTTGACTCTCATTGCTCCCATGAAACACACATGATTTTGTTACCTAAGGTCTGTAATATGGTAAACAAATTCCTCCATAGACTTCCCTTGGTGCTTTAGCACTTCAAACCACGTGTTTACATCGCTCGTTAATGTATTATTTGAGCACAATTGTCTGGCTCAAAACTCGTGCCTAATTCCCTGGAAAGGGAGTGTAATGCAACTGTATGTGCTAATACTTCGCAAAAATTAAATGAAGGCTTTGCAGGCTTTTGAATCAAAAGCGTTTGCTGATAACTTGTTCCCTAATAGCATCCACGTTTGAAGATACTGGACAGGTTTCCTGTTTTGATCCGCTGATAAAATTTTAACAAAATAGGTGGCCTAGTTGTGTATTCTGAATGTTGGTTTCTCGACTTCTTTTATTCACGATTTCACCGACGAATTTGGACGAAATAGTAGACCCAGAAAAGCAAGCTTGGCATGATTGCAAATAAACAAAAAAAGACAAGACAATAGATTCTCGTTTTTTTGGAATAGCACAGGTTGGTTGTAAAGGTGTGTGGGGAGAGGGAAGCGGGTTATATTAGCGGTGATTGAGCGTAGTCAAGTGGATTTTCCCTTTTCCGGAGGGTTCACCATTATTAATTCCACATCAACATAAACACAAAAACGTCAGGCACTTCCGGCAACCATAAGGCTAACTGGTTGCTGCTGGTTACCAACAGAGCAGAGACAAATGAGGGCTAACTGACTCGCAGGCGTAGCCTGTTAGAAAGGTTTCCGGTTTCACCGAGTCTACTAAAATAGCGTACTACGTACTGAAATATACCCTCCGCTCTAAGCACTACCAAACTGAATTAAATTAAGAAATCGTAATGTGACACATAAAGAGAAGGGGTTACATGGCAGACAATGGTCCACGAAATCGCGATTGTCGAAAAACAGAAACCAAAAATGTAAAGAAAAGCAGTCATCAAAACTTAATTATATTTTTTATTGCTTGTTTATTTAAGAATGACTACCTTTTTCAATGTAATTCTGGATTTCGAGGTGGGTTGTGTGGTATCAACCTTGCAATTTTTTATATTCTTTGGTACCCATAAAACTGGAGAACAAATAAAATGGTGGAAAGATAACAAAAGCAGGTGAATACTGACGTTTATTAAGCCTTCTGTCTAGGCCTGTCGTCGCAGTGTGAGCTCCATTGGTGAATAGTAATGCCCATTCTAGTAGATAACCTACACAAGTTCTGATGAGGGGAAGTTAATGTCGCTTAAGAGTTTGTTGGACGGGGTCGATATTGCTTATTCAAAAGAGGATCACCGAAATATGCCTGACTTTTGGCCAAAGTGGATCGGGGCTCTAAAGCTGGTGTATCAGACAAAACGCAAAATCATTGTGATAAACTTCAGAAGAACGATAATTAGTTTCCACAATGGAGGTACCGATTATCTGATGTACCAGAGTCTTTCGTATTTCAGTGAGTGCAATCAACGTCATCTCGTTGAAGTCATAAACCTTGTTGGTCAACGACAACGTGAAAACCCTAAATTAACTCGGAAATTTAAGGTAACGTCCTTAATCTCGGGAAAACTATTGAGACAACCTTAGTGACAAAAATCAATGAAAAGTGCCAGTCAGAGGTGGTAAAATTACATTGACACATGGTTCACTGGACCAAAAGTGACGCAAGTTTAGCATTGGGTACTTTGACTTCTGCTGTGTTGTCATTCAAAAGTCGGAATATTTAGGAAAGTCAACGCTGTTCGCGCTAAAGACGTTTTGAGGGTTTAAAGTAATGTGGACATTGTAGCGGCTTAGGGTCTGGCCTAAATGCTGCATTTGGTCGTCGGTGTCTCCGAACTTCTTAAATACTACTTACCGTGGAACTACCTAAATGCTCTCAGAAGAGTAAATTATGCCATGGTGGCATGCAAGTTCAGAACAGTTTTAGCTGCTTCGAGTTTTTACAGGTGATTACAGGTAGTCAATGGATCTCTAGTCGCAATGGTGTGTTCGGTTAGTGTTTGGGCCATTTTGCGAACAAGCTATAGGTGTGAAAATACTAGCGGAGTCCGACAGAATGAACAAAAGCACGAACATTCCAAAAAATTGATAGCATTTTTCGTTAAGGTGCTTACACTAGTTCATGTTGACCGCAAGGTGAAACAATGAAAAGAAAGCCTGCACCAATTATTGGGTACTATTGAGATCGCGTCATCAACTTCATTTCCATCCGCAATCAGGCTTAAATGCTCACGGAAATTAGAGAGACACCTATCAGTTAGTTCAGTACCGTAAAGCAGGTGCTGGAAACCAGTGTAGTTTGCCCTGATGGTTCGTGTGTAAAGGAAGGTTTTCATCTTTTCAAGCGAAGGAGGGTCAAACAAGCCAAAAGACTCGGTCGCAACTTTCCGAAGTACTTGCATAACACCCTAGCAATCCACCTATACCCGCGAGTTTGTCTTTTGAATGCAAAAGTGTGCCGTTACACACATTAACCATGCTTCAGTATTAAAAATTTATTCAGGAACATTGACGAAATGAAACAGAAGATTTAAGTAATCGACTCAATCATTAGAGAAATTGTGAGAACTTCAAATGGGATCATAAATGTGAAGTTGTGCCATCTTGGAATCTTGTTAATTCACAGATCGTAGCATCCAAGAGCAAAGAGGTAGTTGGTGACGTGAGACATTGTCGTTGATCTCGCGTTCTGACTATATGTGTGAGTTGATGTCTGGCGCGGGCTTGTAACTGGGAAAACTCATAACCTTTTAATTCATACATGCATTAAATCAGAATAATATACTTAAAAATAAAGTCGTTATAAGTCTGATTTACGCTTTTATTTTCTGATTTTATTTAAATTGTTAAATGCTTCGTTTTAAAGCATGTTATGCATTGTGAAATATATTACCTTGCCATTGCTGCCCCCTTTGTCAGTTTTCAAACTCTGAGTGCTTACTGGAGTCAGTGGATCCACGAACAGTCTAGGTTTCCATGAAAAACGTTTTATGAGTAATGTATGCATTCACATCCATCCAGTAATGAAAGTTCACGTTATTAATGGCATTAGTCACAGTTAAGTAACTAGTCCATTTATGGAAAAAGTGAACTTTTACATCTAGGCGCCTATTTGTAGACACATTTGTCTTAATAATTTCCTTTCAAGTCAGCGTGTTTATTTGTTCTGCTGCTTGTTTTGCCCAAGTCCTTGATTGCACCCTAAAAGATGACCTTACTTAAAGACTTTCCACGGGTCGTAATGCAGTAGATGATCCGGAACGTTTGTATTTTACTCTGCCAATATTTACAGAGCTGATTTAGAGCATTGGCAGATCAAAAACATCTTTTGTGCTGGCTTTCCGAATGCTGACACATTGAATGAAGTCTGTTAACGGTAGCATTATGGTTTTTTCAAAGGTTTTTAATCTCAAACACTCTAAATCAATGAGAACGCTGGAAACCGTTTTATCTTATACAAATTAGAATTACTTAACTTAAATATTCACCACAATAAAATCTATGAATATATTTTTTTGCTTTTGGATGCCTGAATGATGCAATCTGCACTAAGTAATGTGGTACTTTGGTCTGCGTAGGTATTTAAAAAAACGTGAACATGAATCTACTTGTTTTTGCATTACCCTTTTTACTAAGTCTTTCAGAACGTTTCTTTCTCTTGGGTAATGAGAGTACACCTCACAAGCATTGCACGGACTGCTTCACTTAGGTTCTTCGGCATTGTGACTAAGCTCTTTACTGGCTTAATTCGTGTGGAATGTATCTTTGAAAAAGTGAGAGGGAAGCTAATAAGTTACTCTGCACATTTAAAATATCTGCTTGGGAGTTCGCCGTCCCCAAATTCAAGAATTGGCAACCTTGAACGCTAACTTACACAACGAGCATATTAGTCATCAGACTTGCTCAATTTACCTGAGGTGCTGAGGTTTGAAACCAAACATGCTGGCGCGTCTTAATAACTTTCCACAGGCACCACAGGTTTGGCTCCATTGTACAGAATTAAGCTGATCTGTTTTGTTAGACTGCGAAATTTACTTCGCCCAACCGACATTCTTTTATTGTAGGTGCAGAATTTCTTCGCGTTCATGTTCTTACGCTCAATTTGTCAAAACCATTCTGCCTTCTGGTGTCTGTTACACGTTTCGTGGAGATATGAAGCGTAGGTTTATTTAAACTAAACAATCAACCAATTATTATTGTCTTCAAAATTGCTAATTTCGCCGATCAATCTTTGAAATCATTTCGGATATTACTTTTGGAGCATGTTTTGTATTTAAAGGTCCACTCTCATTAGTGGCTATTCAAAAAAAATTGTGTAATACAAATCTGTCCATTGAGGTGTACTTTATTAGCAAAAACTGCATACCCTGGGCAACAACAAATTGGGAAAATATCAGCGCACAGGTGCAAATGAAGTATTCTAGTTAATGTCCAATGGGTTTGTAAAGTGGGGCGCGAGCAGGTTTTTATAATCAGTATTTCAATATTTCAATCAGAGCTGTGGTTTGTAGGTATTCTGCCTAATTGAAAATAGTCAAATCCTGCATTACTTTATGCATTGCTATAATCGTTCAGATTCCTGCTTAACTATAACACCAGCACTAGTGTTTAAGTGCTGACAGTAAACAGCTTACAGCTGTGTTGCTAGTCTGTTGGAATTATTTCCTTTCATGGGAAGCCTCTGAGACACTGCACTTGGAGCTTGACCCAGAGTCGTTGGATTACCTCATCCCAAACAAGGGGCTTGTTGGCTTCCGCTTCCTCGTTCACGACACGCCTGAGCCCAACTGGGTGCACCACCAGTCGGCCATTTTCCTTGGAATACAATTTCACACCATGCTTCGCCTGACTGGAATCAGAAAGGTAATTCAGTTGACTGATTCCGTCAATTGAACAAACGCAGTCCAAGTATTTGCATTTTCTGGCTTCCGGAACATTTGCATCTGTTTCAGACGTCAAATCTGCGATCAAGCAGTAAAATGCAAAATGACCCTCGGTCTCAGCGGACTTAATGCATGGCGTTTTAATCAACTCTGGTTACACTTAAATGTCGGATGCATGAAAACCTATTAAGTTGTTTGCGAACATTTTATTTTACGATTTACTTGCATTTTAAGATTTCGTCTTAGTTACCCTCACAAGCGAAGTGCGTCCGTGTGTAAACTATATTGTCTCAATACCTTTGTATTGAGAACGTCGATAAACATGACGCATCGTTTATGGCAATTTGGTGCCAACAAAAAAACCGATGAAATTCAACAGGATGTCTATTTTTATGCTGTAAAACTACTCTTAAACTAATTTTCTTTCGTTTCAATTGTTTTTGGTAAAGAAGTGGCTACCGTCGAAAAATAACTTAAAGAATTGCATAAAAAGTAAAACAATCAAGCCAATATATGTGTCAAGATTTCATTTTTATCCTTTTATGAGTCTCCCGAATGAATCGAAATTGTATGTCGGTGGCATTTTCGTAAATTAAAGTCAAAGTACAAGGATGTAGATCCAGCTTTCCACTTGTTTCATCCTCCTCATGTATTACTCTAACCTCGTTAATTTATTCTGACACAAGCCGCTGTCTTTTATCAAAACCAAACCTACGACAGGGGTTTATAGTAGTTTTTGACATCTGTTATAAACTACGTTCCGCTCACAACTCACCTTCGACTCGGTCTCCTCCCTCAAGGTGCTTGTCTCAGGGCTCATAATGACGGCAAGCAAGGTGCCACTGATTTCGTGCTCTTCTGTATACGTTATTAGGCATCTACTAGCGACCTTGTGATTGCGTGCTTGTGTAAGTGGGCGAGTCAATCGCGATGGGTGCTAATTGGAGTATATTAAGGAATTGGCTTTGATCAGAATCCCTTAGGAATGCGGAAGAGAGCACAATTGACATTTAGCGAAGCACATCCCTGATGGAGACTGATTACTGATACAGGCCAAAATAGTAATGTTCTAAGCGTTTAAGTGATGGCCTACAGCATGCATCTTGGAACAGTTTTTTTCCAAAAGAAGGAATAAATTGTCCACTTTTAGCACCACCCCTGTGCGTCGATTTGTGGTGCAGTCACCTGCCTTTCACAGGCTTGTGTCATTTTCTGCAAACCTGAGAATTCACCCATCCAGAAACAAAGTGGGTACACTATTATTTCACGTGCTTGCATTTTACGGTGTGCTGTAATCAGTGATTGAGGCCTCAAGGCAAAATGGGACTGTACCCAAGGGAGCAGAGCCAGCCTAGCAATGAAACATCGCCTAGGCTTTTGTTCTGCGTTTTAAACGAAAAATTGTCGTTTTTGTGAATCGAACTGCCTTAAAACCTTCATAACATAGTTATTCCAATTTTGAAGCAACACATTTTGTATTATAGTTTTCATGTTATTTGACAACTATTCTTTCATTTTTCCAAAGTATATTTAACTCGACACCCTCACAGAATTGCAAATGATACTCCCACTTTCTAGTCTACTGATCAATGAAAGTTTGACATTACTCATTGACTTTACCCAAAGACTGAAAATGCTTCTATCAGAAACTCTGATAACGTGGAGTTTCATCCCAAATTAGGACACGACGTGTCTTCAGTTTATTACTATCAATTTTTCAGTAGCGTACGTTTTCCTGTCAACTGAGAGAAACAAGTTTCGTAAGTCGTAATTCACCTTTGTAAATACTGAGACCTATATGAATATACAATCCTGGTGGTAGCAATGGACCTCATTTTCTGGCTGAGGCTCATTTCTGGGCCTACGCATCCCAATTAAAAATACTTTAGGTATGCATGTACCCTCTAAAGGCTTGTAGTTGTTGGTATAACTACTAATATACCTGCTTTGGTTTATTTTGTTAGTGACCGTAGTATTACCAACCACTACTAGAGGTAGCACAAGGGGCTTGCGTTAGCATTGCGAGCATCGGTTTATGTAGTCATTCTGATTTAATCAAATTGTTACAAGGGAGGAAATACAGGTAGAAAAGTTGGACATGGCGGATGTGAATCTGCAACCTCAACATTCTCCTTACATCAGTAAAAGTTGATGCCTTCACGCAAGCTATAGCGCCATCGTCTTCTAGGCAATTCTGATTTCGCCAAATTTTGAAGCATTTTTGATTGCCGAATTTAAAAAAAACTGACCTGACTGGAAACTTTGAAGCATTCTAGATAAGCATTTTAAGACTCTTAATCTTTGGAAATGTAGATGCTCTCAGAAGTCATTCGTCAAGGGGTCACTTTATTAAACTTGTATCGCCAAACGACAATTTTCAACTAATACAAACTGCGTTGACAAATCTGGATGGCTGTTTTTCATATTATAATTAATTATCGGCGACATTCCACATTTTATTTTCTTTCACATACAATGTCGACGTTTTTCTTGTATTATTTATCGAATTCTTCATGTTTAAAGGTGTTTGAAAAGGAATGTGTGCCAAGACGGACTTGGGAATCTTGCCTTCAAAAGTGTCTCCTCCTTCGAATACAACGCGAATGTGGTTGCACCTTCCTTGGTGACTTTTCTTGTTGTTGGCCTTATTGTTGTGACTGACTTAGTAAATTGTGTTCATTAGACTGTGATTTCAACAGCTCGTGTTTGGTCTCCCAGGAGCTGCAATCCCTAATGCGGCAAAAATTATCAATCGATTAGACAGTTTAGTTAGTATTGCCATCACGACCACTTTTGCGTTGGCTCAGCCCTGACCTGCTGTGGTAATCATAAGTTTGATTCCCTCTTACAGATTCTTGACGCGTGCCTTCAGCTACATATTAACCTGTAACTCAAACGATTATATTCAATAACATGTGAATTCACCTCTTCCTTTGGTTGAGTTAAAAAGAAAAAATAAGGACCTGCTCTTCTCGACTTTACCTAAGTACTGTTGCCGTTTACTCTTATAAGTAAATACCCAATGCGCTACCTATTTTCTATTTCAATATGTTGGGGTCAGTTGTTTTCAGGGATTAGGAATATCTCTTATTTAATCAATCAAACAAAAAATTATTGACAAAATACCTTTCATTTTCTTGTAGGTAGTGGCAATGGCTGCAATCTGTATTCCATTTCCAACTGCAGCCTCCCAATAGATAGTTTACAAGGTATTGCTATTACCTCAATTATCCGGTTCGTATTTTTATGGCATCAATGTACTCGGAAATTTGTGCAGCGTCTGGAAAGTGCGTCTTCATAAACCCTTATAGCTCTCCATCTATTAAGCACCGTGGACACTCACTGTCTGATACTGTGCTCTAACGAGTCAATGTGGTTTTTGTGAAAAACTCAGTTACTGGTGGTAGTTCGATTTTATTTTGACCCTTAAATCAAAAGCCATTGGGAAATTCGTTTTAGGAAATTTACTGGGAACAAAGAGCGGAATTGTTGCAGCATGTTTCTTCGTTCCAATTAAACATTTTTGTCAAATTATGGATAAGGAAATGGTACTATGTTTACGACTATACGAAATTTTATTTCGAGACAAGTGGTAGCAGATAACTGATAGAGAATTATGCATAGCGATAAAGTATCGTGGCGGCAAATTTTAACTTAAAGTAGTCCTCAATACCTTGCTTTGCAATTAAACTTGCACAAACTGTGACAGGCTACCCTGATGGGTGGAAGTGGGTCCATCATAATTGAGATTCAGCGCCCTGTTTTCAAAAGCACTGCATCATTTCACGACCCTTTATCCGACTACATCAGGAATGGGTTTACATCGGAACTTTGCAGCGTCGTACAATCATTAAACCATTGTTTTTTCTTCAATATTTTGTGCCTGCAAACTGACACATCATGTCACGGCGAATGTGAAGCAGTCTGAGGCGCGCCGAGCACACACGACCAGCTGATCAGTCCACTCACTGGACGGGTTTTGAATATGGCATTACTCGATCCTTCACCCATCCTAAGCCCAGAGTCGTTGATTTTCTTAGTAATAGTAAAATTGGCTGCTGGTTCAGTTTGTTTGTCTGCTTTTAATATCTAGATTGACTTAAAACCATTCCTCTACTAACAGTTGTTCGCCGAGTTGCAAATATGCAAAGCTCATAAAAAAATGTCTTTAAAAAATTGTTGCTTACAAAAACAAGTTGAAGAAGGCTTTAGACGGAGAAAGATGATTCATCAGTTTCCTCTTTGCGTGACTGGTATTGAACCCTTGTGTGCTGATTCCTGCTTTGAAGTTCATGTGTTGGTAATATAGCTTGTAGCTCCTAAAATTATATTGATACACACATTATATCCAAGGCAGATACCTAGCTTTAAGTGTATGCTACATCATACTGTGTCCTTTGACGAAATCTTTACGTCTTGATTTTTTAGATTCCCTCTCCCCATCCACGTGTAATTGCATAAGGCCTTGTGAGCAAATTACTTACGCCTATGAGTCAATAACTCAAGCATGGCAGCCGTTTTTTCCCGGATTTAAACAATTTCGGCATACACAGCCCCGAAGTTGGCACAATCAGTCAGCTACAGATGGTCAGGCGTCAAGCCAGTGGACTCGACACTGGTCTCAATTACCAAACCTCCATGAAAGTGGTCGCCAAGTACGAATAGTTTGTACTTTGTGTATCCTAACCAAAAACACTCATAATTTATTGTTTTCTTTCTAGTTTGCTGCGTCTATTCAGCTATGGGCTTTTCTTCGTGAGGCAAACAGGCGTGTATTCCATGAGCTTGTCAGCCTCGATAAGACTTTACTTAGTCTGTACCAGATAAGTGGAGTGATGCAGAGGGTCGTTAAGCTGATTGGCGATGCGACTACTTATTCTCGGAGAGGTGGAACCCGTATCATAAAAAACCTCTTTGAAACAAAGGAAAAGAGCGGCAGATTTTTTGATGAAAATTGCCTGGATCAGGCCGAGCATAATGGGATGCTGGCAAGGGTCAGTCAGCTCAGCAGCGCCTTCACAAATCAACTGCAAGAATCCTTCCTGTTTAAACCGGACAAACGGAATGTTCAGTTAAATTTAGTGCTAATATTCCTGCAGCGTAGCCCACTAGACTTTACGAGGCTATTGAACGAACTTCGAATAAGTGACCTCATTTCTGATGTGACTGTGCTAGACCTGCGCCGGAACGGTCAAAAGTGCCTAGACTCAGCATACAGCTTGAACGGACTCTTGAGTAACTTTACTACGACATATCATTTCCCTCTCAATTCCTCCGAGGCCAGAGCCAATGGAGCGGCGCGTGCCAACGAGAATATCATCTCTTCGTTACAGGCTATGCTTCTGGCCACTGATGCTAGCTTAACCAAGCTAAGTGCTGAATTTTCACGGCTCTATAACCAAAACAAGCTCCTCATTAATGAAATGAGGAGCTTGTTGTCATACCAATCGTCAGTGGAGCGTCGGCACTGGTGAGATTGCGTTATGTGCCCTAATTTATTTTACCAAAACCAGAAGTAGACCTGATGTTGCCATGTCTTGTAGCCGGGTCTCTGTCACAGTGCAACTAACTTCAAGACAGGGCCAATCTCTCCTCCTAAAGTCATCGGAATCTCTCATGAGCAAAGATGGTAAATTCCATTTGATTCATTCAACGAGTGCAGTATCTTGAAAGCTTGTAGATTGTAATTTTTTTAAGTTGGTTTTTAAGACGTTCTTGAAGTTGTTCTAATTGCGAAATCGCCGAACCCATCTTCCTATTTGATAGACAAATGCCCAAATACCTACACAACTCTCTTTGAGCCTGATGAGCAGTCAGGTTAAGCCCTTTATGCTCCTTGACCAGAAATGCGATTTCAAATTGTGACTCTAATCCAACAAATGGAATGACAACACTCGATGTCTTCCATAATTTCAACTAATTCGCGCATATTTGCGAAGTCCTAATCAAATTAAGGGTTTTGATGAAAGCCACACCCAAATCACACCCAAGCTTTAGACGCTATCAACAATCAAGAGACAAATTCAGCGTAAATTGCGGTTGATTTGAAATACCCTTAAGGCCCTACGTTTTGTACATTCAAGAGGGGTAGTATCATGCTAGCTAATTCCAAATTCAGACTAAGGTAGTTTGGAAAAGATGTGTTTGACCAATGGCACCCCGTTAGACGGACCTCACTGATTTGTAATTGGCATCATGCGAAAAATTGTCTGATAAATGCTGTCTTTGCTAAGGCGACCACTTTGCGACTGCAGGAGCAATTTAACCCTCAAACTTTGATATTTTAGCCGAACTTTTGGATATTCTCACTTCAGCCGTTATGATTGGCTCATTAGTAGTCCTTTTGGCAGAGGGTGCTTTTTCAGCGGTTTGGAGGTGCCGACTGAGTCCTCACAGTCGTGCGTCAGGGGATCTGAAACGGCGTTTTACGACCCCCGAATTCGATCGCAGCAGGCCGCCGCCGCCGGCACCACAGAGCGCACACCAAGACCACTCAACAGGCATGCCTCGGCTTCAGCGCGGGAGTGGACGCAACGTCTACGGCCTGCCGCGAGACAGCGTGACACCAGCTTGCACCGTGAAGTGGAATCACTTTACCCTGGCGCCTCCTCACAAGTTCGTCGGACAAATTGCGCGCCATCAACAGCAGCATCAGCGTCAACTCTTTCTGGACATCACCGAGACATCATCCGGTGTCATCAACTCCCCCTCAACGTCCGCTCACCCCTTCTCGGACGTTGTCTAAAACCATTTTACAAAAATTGCCAGCTGGTCGGAAGGTGTAATTTACCTTGAAGTTCGAGTTTTCGTGCTCATGAATCTAACGTTTACTACGCGAAGAAACCAAGACGGTAGATGCAAATTACCTTAACGAATAATTTATTCGTGCTGAATTAAATTTAGGCAGATTTCGATGGTAGAACGCTTTGAACATTTAAATTCCTCACTCATGTATAACTACGAAATCATGCAAGTATAGTGTCATAGCAATTCTTTGTAATAGTATGAACAAATAAAGGTAGTAATGAAATGGGCAAAAGTTAATATGACAACGAAATCGGTAGACAGATTGCAAAAAACATCGACCGGCTATATAAATAGCTTGCCAGCTGCAGGCGGCTCGGGTCACGTGATCAGGTTAAGTGCACTTTATCGGTATTTCAGCTGTGTGATCAGCCCCTGATCCCGTTATATCAGATCACAATTTCCTGCATATTAGGAGTAGTCATTTGCCATAAACTTTCCATCACCATTCTTAGTCACTTGGCAGAAGTTTGTGCCTCTAGCTTTGCGAGCACAAAGTCCATTCCAGACCAAAACATGTAAGCATGAAACATAGGAAATGAGCATAAGGCGAGGTTCTGTCAAGTTGTTTTTTTTTTAATTTAGGGAGACACTCAGCTCCCAAGTGATTCACTTTAGGTATGTTTAAAAGAAATGTGGAGGAAATTACTTTTAACTAAAACTTTAGGATTACTCGCGAGGAAACTGACTCAATTTCATAGTCCTTGAAAACGGGAAATTAAAACTTAAATTTGTGCCGCACACACAAATCCAGTAAAATTCCTTGTGAGGGTCATTGGAATTTAATGCAATGAGAATGGGCTTGTGGACAAAGACCTGGCTCTCTTAAACAATAAAGTGGATAAGAAATGCGAAACCCTCTCGAAGGCTTTAAATTAGATTACGACAACTAACATCTTCAGCTTCCAGAAGCCCGACAGAAACCACTGAACACGTGCCAGAATGTCTTGGCCCATCCCCGAAACAACAATATTTTTTCGGGAATATCCAAAGGAACGTTTTGGTTTGGTCCTCTGGACGCTTACAAAAGAACACCTATGGTGGCATCACAACCGGGGACATGGATACAGTGACAAGGTCGAACCTTTACTATGTATGAAGTGACAAATGTCGCAGTGAGATCGAACGTCAGTAAATGCAATCATCCAAACGTAGCCGCCTTGCAAGGAGTACTTGCAAGGCTCCAGGCCCTCAAAAATTGTATCTTCTTTCACACTGCCGAATACCCCCAAGGGTATTTACTTGAAGCTGATACCAGGAGGATAATGGTAGCAGCTCAGACAATTTTTATGATTACACCAACAACAGTACATGAACTGATTTGTCATTCGCACTAAAATGATTTATTACTGCAGTAACTTCAAGTAACTTGAGTGGATATTCGTGTTTACTCGAGCAATGTTGCAGGCTCCCCGGGGACCGTTTAGTCACAGGACAATAACAAAAGTTTTAGAGTAGAGTTGTTAACATTAGTGTCAAAATATTGGCGCCTCAAGAGCAAAGGTAAGCGGAGCCCCTTCACCTTGAATCTAATACAGGGGGATTGTGGTAATGTTGCATAAGTCAGAGAGCAAAGTTACAAAAAATACCAACATAACATAAAAGTGGGTTGAACAAAATATGTGGGAGTATGAGGATGGGTAAAATTAAAAAGATAGGGGAGCCAAAATATTGTGTTCTCGATGACTAAAGCGGCAGGTCATGGCGCTGGTGTTCTTGGACTTCGGGACTGGACTCGATTCAATAGCAGGGGAGTCCTGGACGGTTGGCAGGAGAGGAGACGGTGGTTGCAGAGAGGTGGGCGAGGAAACGGAGCCGCAGTTTCGAGCAGCGTGCTCAGGGTCTATCTTTGGCACGGAGGTACACGAATATTTGCGGAAGGCAAGACTCGAGAAAGACCCCGATTTGTTTTTTAGAGAGAAATAATCTAGACTGCTTTTCCGAGACTTTGGTGTTGCAGCACCTAATACACACATAAACATCACTTATTGAGTCCAATAGGTCAGTGGATTTCGTTAGGCTAACCATTTTTAACTGTTACGATTGTTTTGGCTCAGGATCTGAGCAATCTAAAAACAACTAGAAATGTAATAAGTTGTAACACACGAGGTTCCTCTAGCCTGTTTTGTTTTATTATGAACTTCCTTATATCTGTCTTCTTGTGTGACGAGTAATTCAGTGTTCTTTAAGTTTCTGAAAATAACATCCGACTAGTAGATTCAATGAGCTATAAGATATGGTTCGGGATAAAGTAACCGGTGGCAAATAAATCAAGCACTGCCAAGAACCTTAAAATATACGTAGGCATGAAGAGAAAATATTTGTCGAGAGTACGTTCTACTCACCTTCACTAAATTTGGACGTCCAAGACGATTAAAATTTAGGCTATATCACGATTAAGCCAACGCATCCAACAATAACGACATATTTAAGGCTTGTAAACTGTACCAAATCACATAAAATGCTTGCCTGAGTTTGAGGCTGATACAGAATGACGCCCAAATGATGTGCGAAGCAAATGAGTTCGCTCAAATTCACGCAAAATGCTCCTCAAGTGCTCAACTTCCATCTGTGTGGAGAGCTTTTTCAGTTGATAATCACTATCGGGGACAAAATTGTGAGTGATTGGTAAGTCGACATCGCCATCGAAAAGGTGGGCCCATGAAGACTTTTTTTCATCACGCATGCTGCTAGAAACGGAGCTAAGCGTATCACCCCTCTCAAGGTCATTAACGAGTATAATGGGAGGAGAAGTGGAAGGGATGAAGGAAGGGGTCATTATCACACCCGATTTGCGAACACGCGATATCGAATGAGAGCGGCTACCATCACCCAAAGCGGACTGTGACGCTGAAGATCTTCTAATTAATTCACCGGAGGGCTGGCATTTGTTCATCTAAACAAAAGGTGACCACAGTAATTACCCCGAACTGATTGACAACTAGGTGAATGTCTGATTATACAGAATTTCAGGAAGTTGTGGTGTGGATAGATCCAGAATGATATAACATCGTGGATACAAATTTATCTAGTCCAACCAAATGTACAACTCACTAATTCTTTGTACTAATTTTTCTCATTCCAATATAGCTAGGTGCCATACCAGGCGACAAAACCAGTAAAACATACACTGCTGGCACACGGGTGCTTTCATCAATTTTTGATAATCTTTTAATTATAGTAATCAGTGATATGTTTTTTGTGAAAACGCTTAATAAATTATTATTAAGAGCTAATTTTAAAGTACTACGCATTATTTACACGTACGCGAGCAAGACGTTCGATAAGTACAGAATGACTAAAAGCCGATGAGCCACGATATTTTTCAATTGAATGTACTTCACTAATGGATTGTCCAAACTTTAATTTTGGAGGGGTCTGGCATGTGGAAACATCAAAATTTTGGCATCGGGATGAGAACACCGATTCAGATAAATTAGTGCCGGAGATAGCTAGAGGATCCTGAGAAATGAGTCGATCACTCTGGTGCGAATCAGGTGATTGCAAGGCAGGCACATTCCACAACGGCGCCTGTGAGAAGGCCTGAAACGCAATCGATGTGTACTCGGATTCATTTGCAAGATTGAGCAACGAGGTGTTCTGCTGTCCCTCACAAAATGTATTTACCCGCCGAAAACCATGACTAGTCCTTGATACGCGGGTCGAATTCGAATTCTGCACACTCAGACACTCAAGTAGGTTACGACACTGAAACTGAATAAAAGATTCGCAGTAATATATCAGTCGAGATTCAGCAAAAAACGTCATATTTCACAAATAAGTGCATACTACCTGGCAAAAATATCAGGCACAGTACGAACATAAAAGCAATTCCACGTTCACAAACTTCGCGTTTTTTGCGGGCGTGAAGAATACAAACAAAGAGGGAAATAAAATTAACAAATACGCAAAGAAGGTTATAGTTGGACATCATATTACCCCAAAAGAGCGCATCTTATCGGATAAAACATAAAATAATTAAATTCAGACAAGTAGTAAATATGTGAATTGGTTTGGCTTGTATTCCCGAAAAATGCATACTTTAATATTTTATTTGCCTTATATAAACATATTAGACGAGGAGGGATCTTGATGGAGCGCTGCATAGTATATCTGCAAAAGAGCGTTAAAATCACAATTTATCAGAATACATTTAAAAAACAATGTCCGGCTAACCATGTGCCTTGATACGGTTGACATTGCAAACTGCAAAAAGGCTATGTAAGGACATAAGAGTCACATGAGACAGGGACAAACCAATAGAACTGAATGGGAAAGCCAAGCACAGAGGACTTCTGGTCGAAAAAAAGTATAAGTTGCGCACGTCACAAGCACGCATATGCCAAAACTAATGATCAGAATTATACGGGATTTGCAGATAAAAGTAAACGATTCTGCGTAAATACATACGGTTTGACAAAACTATACTACTACGACGAGACAATGCAACACAACACTATAAACGCTGTCAGAAATATTTGACATAATAAACTGCTTTAATTTCGGAGATCTGGTGCAGTAAAAACGGTTATATCTAGGGGTCTATGTAAAAAAAACAAAGACATTAATTTAAAAAAAAATAAGTTATCACAACGACTATTACATAGGAAATTGATTGTGAGCGGCGTCGCTTAACCAGGACCATGTGTAGTTAAAACCGCATCGACAACAAAAGTGTACACCGGAAACATTAAAAATGCCACGGAAGCGTCATTAACTCACTGTGAGAAAATTAATGCAATAAAACAGGTTTATTAAAAGGATTGAAATTTTTAAATGCAAAGGTTTCACATTTTTCCTCATGCAAAATAAAACCATTCATTACCAAGTGCTCAAATTTTCCCCGATTTCCAGTTGCTAGTAAAATTATTTGTTCCATATAATTTTGACTATTATTAAAAAATTCACAGATACAGCATTTAAAAAGGAAGTTCAATTTTTTACTCATACCACCCAACATAATGTTTTCGTTGACCAGAATTGCAAGCCTTAGTATTTGGAAAATATTGGCGTGGAATTAATTCTTCCACGACGAATTGGAAGGAAATAATTCCAGGCAAAGCGTATGGAGTGATTTGCAAGAACATATAGTCTTCTTAGCACTTTACATTTCCTCTCTAATGCCGCAGAATTCTGGGAAGATTTCATGCTTTGATTCTAGGAACCCAATTGTTAACGAATGCCAATAAACCTATTTTTAATAGGACAGTGTATGCATCGGCTATTTTTTAAGCTGATTACTTGCAACTTTTGAGATTTCGAGGTATTTTAATGTGATGGCGTTACCAACTTGGGTGTGAAAATGCCAAAAACAAGTGTTGTCACAATAATAATCATTTTTAGCTAAACATTTTCACAATCTTAAATGTATTTTACCTTGTGCTTGTAAGACTTTGAAATCCATTATTCAAATCTGTACTAATAAAGTCAGCAAAAATTCAAAACCAAATTTAATTCAATATCTGATGTTCATGCTTCCTTCAAAATTAAAAACACAAAATTCATTATGAAATTCGTTAGAAAAAGGGTTGTTTGAGTATGCTTACAGATTCTTTAATTCTCTTTTATTAAATCTATTAGGGAACAGGTATTAAATCAAAAACCAGAAAAACCTGTGGTATTCCGACTCATGTCCTATTTTCGTTTTAAGGCACTTCTTTTCTTCATTTTATTTAACAAAATTAGCGCTAATCAACGCAAAACAGTTTATAATAGAAGAAGTATGAATCTAGATGGTCATAAAGCTCCATCAATTGGTTTTAGAAATAATTTTTTCAGAAAATTAAGGCTAACATATAGGACAGTTAGCCGCAATGAATGTTGTCTACCAGTCAAAGATTTTAATTTTTGATCTTAACTGCATTTAAGTTTATTAGATTACATGGAAATTTATTGTGCAGATTTTTTTGTTTGCAAAGTTTTGTCCATTCTGAAAATCCGTTACAATTCCGTCAAGCGAGTAATTGTTGTACGTTCTCCGAAATGTATTTAATAGACATTTTTTATATTTCTCTCCGTAAATTCTACTATGTGAGATATCTAATGTAGTGATACTGTTGCTTTTTTTGAACTTTAGTCTCGTTTGGTCATAAATATTCATTTTCGCGTATTTTCTCGAATTATGAATGCTTTTTAAGCACCTTTTAGATGGCATTTTTTTTAAATAAGAATTAGGTACTGTTATGAATTGAATAAATTGGTAAGTTATGCTTGAAGTGCATCAGATATTTCATTTTCATTGAGATTAGCTTTTAATTCTTTTGACCAACTGCGGCATATTTGGAAGTATTTGCTGCCATTATGTATAACGGCATCGGGTTGCCAACTCCGAGGGGCAGTGGCACAAACGGTTACGTTCAACGAAACTTGGCCTTCCTTACAACTTTCAAGGAGAAAATAAATTACAAAACGGATGAAGATATTAAGCGTGCAGACGCAGTTGCTTTTAAGGAACCGAACAAGGATATACTTTTGCACGAGAGGAAACGAAAAGTTGAAGTTAAGTGCTTTGAGCTACGGCAGGCCATGGAGGACCAGGGGTACACAGAGGAGGAAATTGACGAAAAGGTGTCTGCTCTTCGAAAAGAGCTTTCTTCAAAACTTGATGACGATATTACTCCTAAGCGCCTTGGTGAAGCCTTTAAAATTAAGTCATCAATTATCCCCGACACTAACCGCCTTTTACCTAAAGGCACACATGAAACAGCGGCTGTAGCTGTATTAAAGAACTCTGTTTTCAAGGATGCTTTGGGTATTAGCGACGATTATGAAGTCGGAACCTCAATGCAGCGTTCCTACGAAAGACGGCAACAGGCGGAAGAATCTAAGGCTCTATTCGAATCTCAAAAGCGCCTAAGGTGATATTTTGTTCTTTTTTGTGATATCCTTGGTTGATTTTGTAGCTGGTAGTCTTATGCCCCTTTGTGCCTCCCATTTATCATAGTTGACGTCTCACGCCGGCATTTCTCTCACTTTTTGACTTCGAATCTCTTTGTAAATAATCATCAAGTCACATAAGTACTGATATTTTCAAATAATCTCCTTCTTCATAAAATGTTTTACTATACGCAAATGTCGCTAGTATCCTCATCAACGGTCTGCACGTTTTTCTCCAATTGTGAAACCGAAAATTTCCATCGTTTGGAATTTGTTTTAAGTTCGCATCCATGTCTCTTACTATTCTGGTCCAAATGAAAGTAATTTTGGGCTGTGCACTTGGTCTTAATGGTGCTCGTGTCAAATCTCAGTTTAATTTTCATAGTTCGAAGAGCATACAGATGGCAACTTCATTTGGTGAGACCTGAAAATAATTTGGAATGCCGACAGATAAGCCCACAATTTTCCTCCACCAAATTCTAGAAATAAAATAATAAATTGAGGCGCGTTTTATTCAATTGTTTCCCCATTGCAGTTTGGTATTTTGTATAGCCGTATGTCAAATGTCATTTCTGGTGTAATTTCCATCTTGTTTTAAGTGTGTTGAAGTCTTCATCGGATGAAGAATCAGACGAAAGCGATGATGGAACTAGTAAAAAGAGAAGCAAAAAATCAAGAAAGTCAAAGAAAGAAGGGCATAGTCACCACAAAAAGCACAAGAGAAGAAGGCGTTCGACGGTGTCTGCGTCATCTTCATCCAGCTCCGATTCTGAAAATAAATCTAAAGAAAAGCGAAGAAAACGTCACAAGCATCGTCGACGTCACCACCGTGAGAAAAACGAGGAAAAGTAGCGCACTTCTTGTTGCTCATTGAAACTTCTGATATGTATATAGCAAGGAACTACGGTCGTGCGCCGTTTCTCGTTACTTACTATATCCCTTTTAACGACAATTTTCATTTACTCCTGTGTGTATGTATGTTCTTAAGACAGGCAAAGTATTACTGCAATTCTTCACTTGGGAATTCTTTAACGGTTAATTTTTTAGCCTCTTTTCCCTGCATAGTGTAACAAGACCAATGCCATGGCTGTAGTGACACTTGTTTAAGAGAATCCACCAAAGTTTAAACGACAATTTAATTTATGCTTCATATCTTTATGCTGAGTAATTCTCGGCGTTCAGTTTCGACATTGTGATTACTAGCCTGTATTTTTATCCTTAGTTTTACGATCGCTTTAGAGACTATTTAGTCATAGTTGCTTCATTTGGTAAGATCGGTAACCGTTCACGTTTCAGAACCCGAATAAAATAGAAGCAATTGTGGGATTATTAAGGAGTTGTGGGCATCGTACTTCGCAAAATAGCGTTACTGGTAATGTTTTTGTTTTTAGAACGTAAAGCATGGAATTATTTAGTCTCCCATTCAACTAGTTAAGCGGTAAATTCCACTAGCATGAATGTCAATCTATCGTGATTCGTGCGGTCACTTAGGTGTCACGACCAGAACCCGCCTCTTGAAAACATTTTTCCTACCCAATAATATGTATGTGTGAATTGTTCGTGGTAGAAATGGTAACGCGTGACGTAGGTTTGTTGCCTTGACGTGAGATTCAGTCAGGAGTGGGTTGCGAGTGGGTCAAGAGTCTAGATTAGAATTGCAAAAGATAGCCGTGGCCAGAACATCAACAGCCGAGACCTTTCGGATTTTTACTTACCGCGCCAAGTGTCAGTGCGTGTATGTGCGCCAAGAATTCGAAAGAATCGTTTTGTGTAACCCCGCGCGCACATCCGGTCTCGACCAAACATGCAATTGCCAGTATTAACGATTGACTGTGGAATTATGATCAGCCGGTTTAATTTGTGATTTGACTGATATTTCAACAAGCAACTGTTTTTGCCTGCAATCACGGCTAACTGGTGCATTATGTACAATGGACTAGGAAAAGTGCATCACAGAAGTCCCTGAAACGTGTTAAATGCATGAGCGTTGAGGAATCGTGAGTTTAAGTAAACAACGACAACACGTTTTGCGTGTATGTGTTTGCGTTATCTTAAATGACAGTAGTTAGGCGAGAGCTTGTGCAAGTGGGTGAGGGCATTTGTGAACTGGCTGCTTTTACTAATCCCAATCAATGTGCTTAAGTACTATAACTGTGGTTCCGTTTGCGATGGCATAAGAGGTGAAGGTTGGCGTGTCGAATCGGACTAGATCTTCGTACGGATGGCGGAAGGTGGTGAGGGATGTGGGTGACTCCTGGTCTGTTTGATGTCTTCCACAGAGCTCGACATGCTAGACATCTATTTGTGCTTCGTGAGTCCCCACGTCCACGATAGTTTAATTGAACACGGCCGAAGGTTGAAAAAAAGAAAAGTGAAAATATGTATGAAGAGCCTTTTTTCTAAACACAGACAGCCAATAAACCTGTAAGACAGACAGCTTTATGTGAGTATCTGTGTGCTTTTTTCGTTACTTAAGTGTCGGACCTTTAGACACATGAGACTAGTTATGTTGATTGGATCAATGCACTCACACAGGTTTAGCCTCAATCATAACCTTTTTCTGCACTACTGTGGTCTTGATGAATCACTGAAACAGTGTTTCGGAATCAAGGAATAAACCACGTGACTTGTTAGTGCTATCTTTACAGCGTGCCAGCATTCTATCTACTAAGCCACTTCATGGTAAGTGGTAAATCGTCGTTCACGTACGAGTCAGTCGTGTTAGTCGCCTTTGCAGAAGATGTGATTGGAATATTGTTGCTTGAGTTGCTGTAACTTTCGCAGGACTGCAGAGAGAGGGAGTAAAGCCCATGTCATCAGTGGTCATGTCTCAAACTGCTTCACACACCTAAGTTATATCTGCACTCGCGCAGACGCCACACACGACACGATACCAACTCGGTTGTGTCCAAGTCCTCTTTGGTCTTCATCATCGCGCCTAGCATGGCATTGTAATCGGACCAAAATCAACCTATTATTAGCTGCTTTTTCTGATGGTAATCGGGTTCAGATAAATCGCCTTGTGGTCAATTCCGATACATAGTGGTTTCTGGTACCTGTGGTGTGGTTGATTTGCATTATCATAAATATATGTGTTCGGGCTTCAAAAGACACTGGCTTTATTTTTCCGAAAGCGGGGCAGCTTGGTATTAGTGTCGTTCATTGTATCGTGTAATTGTATAACAGGTGCCTATTTATAAATTCATCTAGAGTCGCTTGAGTATTTAAGATATAGTGCACTGATCAGGTGCGTATTAAGATTGTGACACTAAAATCTGTCCATGTGGTGATCAGTTATATGTTTGATTTAAACTTAGGTCACTAAATATCATAAATACAATGATCTACAGTGATTTCGCTTAATATCTGAGAATCTATAAACACACTGAATACAGTGGTTCGATTTAATTGGATATTGTAAAATTTCATAATGAGCAATGCGGTTAGCTCGAGAAGTGCATTTTACCACAACTAAAGGTTTTGCTTTCGAACTATAAAACTTCCTGTCCACTCCTTCACGGATCATGCGCTACTGTTTAGTTCATATGAAATGAAAGCAAAACCATTACGCACTAAATATTTGCAACCATTCGCAAAAATTATTTTACAACTCGGGACGTGAAAGAATGCTGTACGTAGCTGTGTCGCGGGTGCATCCTGGTTCTAAAACCGAGCCACTTTTCAATTTTATGGTAATGCAGTGGATTGAACGAAAGCATAGGAGACGAAATTAACGGTCTTAGAACAAACAAGAAAGCAACATGTGGGAGCAATATATCATTTGAACTGAAGAGGAATAGGAGGTCGGAGTTAAAGGATAGTTTTAAAAAGTATAAAATTTTAACTGAATTTTTCTTAAATAAATAGGCAGCAGGTGGTCAGTGCTGAGACATCATTTACGGCCATGACGAGGATAGAGAGCTCTTAGTAATTTTATTGTGAGATAAGAAGTGTATTAATTTGTGAGCACGGGTGTTTGTTTTGTCTTTTTTCTTTTTGGTGCAATACAGTGGAAGACATTGAAACCTATACCTAAACAATGGTACCACTTTGTATGATTGGCAAAAATATTGCAACATTTGTCTTGTTATTTCTAAATAACCCTTTGCTTTATCATATTTGGTTTTTTTTGAATGCTATTCAAAATGGCCAATAGCGGCAAGAACTCCATTTGCTGTGTGCATTTACCGCTTATTCTACTTATTGCCATGATATTTGTTGTATAGGATAACCACAACGTCAGGTTAATTAAAAAATTCTCCTTCCTGGTCTTTGACGATACTACACATGTTCAACTATATTATTTCAAACTTAAATGTCATTCTTCTCTCGATTTTTTTAAAATCCGCTTTTCGCTCTCTAAGACTCTTTAAACGCTTTCACTGTTATTCTAAATATAATGGAGCAGCTTCCTTTAATGTCTGAAGCACAAGAAAGTCTAAATTCATTAGGCAGGATAACTGCACATAATTTATAATTGGTGCCAGCATAGTCAATTATAGCGTTTATCAATTGCTGGTTGTAAGTAACCTATATGGGTCCATATTACAATTAACCTACCAAGGTCCAAAACTTTTTATGCACTTAATTATCGAAAGTTCATTCTAATAGAATGTACAAGCCGACTATGGACCTGAGTGCCCTTAATTGCATGACAAGTTTTTGACGATAAATGTTATTGTTGTACAAGATTTTAATGAGGTGTTTGAAGGATATGAAAGAACATTAGATCCCGATTCTAATCCATTTTCAATAACTTTATCAATATCTCAAAATTTATTACTTATTTCGTCTGAATAGTAACAGTTTATTTTCACTTTCTGCCAACTTATTTAACATATTAATATGTTAATAGATATGTACAGTTTCTGTCAAATTTGAAGTTGAACAAGAATCCAAATTCAGGGTAAAAAACCCGCAGTCTAAGGGTAAATAAAAAAGTCACCATGACATCGACCTTGATTATCTGTAAAGAAAACTTATTACCTGTAACATTTTTGGGGAGAAGTAATCTTTGACTAAAGTGGTAGACAGTAAACACCAAAGGTAAAAAATACTGGATATAAATTTTGTGGAAAAAGAGTGCCAAAATCTTCCCTGAATTTGAGGTATACTCAAACATATAAGCAGCCATATATTTCAGCTTCATTAAACTTAGTTCTTTTGCATTTAAAGGAACTTATAAATTGGATACAAATTCAGTTAAGGTTAAGTACAACCAAAATAACCCTAAAATTACAATCACCACAACCATTTTGCTTTCGTTTTTCCGTGAACTATTACTGTTCTAGTAGCTTTAATTATTTAATTAAATGAAACTATGCAAAATTTGTTGCGTTTTTTGTGCGAACTCTCAAAATGAGCGATTTCCAATATAACTTTGGCCCATGCATGTTTGAATTTATAGCATGCATTCTAAATAAGTGACCTAGACGCTGAGATATAATAATATGAATAAGGACTTTAGGGATAATCTTGCGATTCCTTTAACCGTATACCTAACTTCTTAGTTAATATCGTAAAAAGAATAGTTTTTCGTTTTTTGTCTGCAAATTTGCTTAACGATTTTTTTTGGAAATAGGTATTCTTAAGACATTTTCAGGTCATTTGAAAACCGTCAGCCCTACAAATTTTAGTTTTGCCATGACCAATGTACTTTAATTGCAGCTTTGTAAAGGCTTAGTCGTGCTTTGTGAAAAAAAAGAGTAAATTTGCACGAATCATAGTAGTTGTAATTAATTTTTTTCATTGATGTGTTTTTGGAATTACTTGTTTGCTGTAGGAAATTCTTATTATTTGACTGAAAATGATCGAATTTGCTAAATTAAATGAACATTTCTCTTCCAAAGGATGGCTTGGAGAGCTCAAAGCGCCGACTTTTTGAATATTTGCCCCAGCAATCAGTTTTCGATTGATAATAATCTGTTTGAATTTTGGAGTGATCGATATCGCAGGCCGCAGCACCAGCATCAAATTGGCACTCATAGCACTAATTCAACAGTTAAAAGTGGTAAATGTGAGTGAAATATTTCCATATAATACTAGAATTAAATTAAAACTTATTGACTCTTGTCCTTATTGTCTTGTTAAATCAAGTTAGTGTTTAATATATTTATTGAACAAGTGCCCTAACTTTCTTAGCACACTTCCTTTGTGTTTATGGTGTATGCACGTTTATGCTCAGTCATATACGCGTGCACCTGTTCGTCCTAATCCATTAGTTGTTTTCCTCTGATCTACTATTCAGTCCCACACTTATATCGACCATGAATTTTTACCCCAAACTAAGTTTTGCAAGCAAAATTCAATTTGAATTTGTTCACAGATCGGTGTGTTGGGGCCTTATTAAACATTAGAATATAAGGAAACTTCTTTCTTTTAACTTATACACAAGTGGACTTCCACTAAATTTGACTCCAGAGCCAATAATGGTGTTGGTAAATCCTAAAGGTACCATTTGTGATCGCCTTAATGACAATAAGTTAACTATTTTCTTAGTTTTGAAATCTTCATAATCAATAAATGATTATGTATAGTTAAGTGAAATTGTTCATCTTATAAGTTACTGTATGCTTTGTGTAGCATAATTTCGGGTTCATTAGGGACAACTTTATTTCTGGCCAAAAGGAACATTTTTTATTGTCCAACATTTTCAATCGTTTTGATGAAGGGCTTAAAAAATTCGTATTGTGTTAGTACACACTAAATACATACGTCCAAACAAGACGTGAGACTTAACATATTCTCGCTGCTGTCAAATGTTTGTCTTGATTTATCTTGTGCAATTCGTGGCTGCAAAAATAAAAGATATTGTGTTGGAGACCAAATAAGGTATTCGTTTTATTATAGTGTAATGTAAATTTTAATGATTCAATCATTTACTGTTAGTTTTATTACGTTGACTTGGCAAGAATATAAGGCAACAGTCTGTACAAACGTTTATTTTTATAGTTTCAAGCCTATCTCGATTAACTTCCGAGTCTCGAATATTTCAGTCAAGCACTGATATTTCGACTTCAACGGATATCCCACATCTGGTCAACAGGCTTAAATCACCCTGTTTAAATGTACAAGCAACTGCTGCTGCTTGTCTTCAGCACCTTGTCTACAAGAACAATGATGCCAAGGAGGAGACTTGGTAATGTTATTGTTCCTTCTAAAAGATGTACTAATAAACACGGTTCAGATTCACAACCACACCACCAAATTATGCTCTGGTAGTATGGTAACTTTTGTATTCTTAGACTTTTAGCGAATAGTTTGCATGCTAAAATTCTGCTTTTGTAATTGAAACATCCAGAAACGTCTTTTCTTAGCACTTTACTTTAACACAGTGATGGCGTGGTTCAGATACTGTTTCGTTCCATTACAGCACCATGATACACCAATGTAAGCATTCGTCATATAGGGAGTATTGTTTTTCCTTTAAACATATTTTAAGGCTTCAGGCTTTTTGAATGAAACAAAAGTTTGTGCTTTGTTTGACCTAATTGTTTTATATTAATCTAGATTTCGTTTTAATTTTACTTTGGGCTAATTCATTTTTAATTCAAAGAAGCTCTGGAGATGCATTTTTATGGAGGTGGATGATTTTAAAGATTTGTAATTTAATGGCAACTGTTAAAACCTGAAACTTTTCTCTAATGCCTGCCAACTTAATGTTATCATGATAAGTCTAGTTATCCTGAATAATGCTTTTTCGAGCAATCATGATTCCTTAACACCCTATATAGTTGACTTTTTCAAACACGATGAGAAAGGAATTGAATATCTTAACAAGAGTGTGAGCAAAGCTTCTTTTAGTGTATTACCACATTCTCAAAATGTTTTAGTTAGGTTCTTACCGATTTTACCGATATGAATGATCAAATGTTTGCTTCATCACTTTTGTCAAATAGGCCATTTCTTGCAGGTAAAGGCATTCCTAGTGCCCATATTACTGAGGCTTTTACTTGAGTTAAAAACCTTAAGCGTCAGAGGTCAATCGCGTGACAGAATGCCTGGTTTTACTAAATCGAAGACTGTAATTGATTCAGCGAAATAAGTGAGAAGGTGTAGAATTGTAAAGGTTGGCTGTGTGACGACCTAAAACAAGTAGAAAACTAATTGGGGATGGTTTTTACACAAACTAGATCCTATCATTGATTTTGAGCTTACTGACTGACAAAGAAGAAACGTGGTGTCGACGTGATTTATTCAAATTAAAAGTGTACAAAAGAACCATGTTCGTGAATGACTACTCGTTAATTTAGCAAAGGCTTGCTGCGCAACTGATAATTGGTTATTGCATTTTTGTGAGAGCCAAAGCTCTACACTTACCCAAATTTCCAACGGCAGATGTATTTTCGGCACTGCTGGGAATTTCGTGACTGGCTTCACCTATGAGATTCTCAGTTGACATATTTGTTTTTTAAGACTTTGTGAATTCGCTTTTGATTTGTAATGGCCTAATACGGAAAAAGATGCTTTTTTACCATATTTCTCATTCTTTAACCAAGGCTTTTTAAGAGTTCTGGAGTTAGACAGTGACTTAAGTCTACGAGTGATCATCAAAGAGACCAACATTGTCAAAGGAAATTTTACTGACTTTCCAATCGGTCTGAAATGGTCTTTTGTTGTCTGTCCTTTTAGGCGCGCAGGTGGTCTCATCTGTCTTATGCGGTTACTTGAGTCAAAGGACCCAGTAGTAGTTGCAAATGCTACTGGTGTTTTACGAAATCTCACCTCGGGATCGAATATACCCCTCTGCGTAAGTTTGATTTACTGATGTACAAAATGCATTAGTAATTGGCGCATTCAGGCTTTTTTATCTCACTACAGAAGGAATTCGAAAAGTTAGGTGGAATACGGGCAATCTCCGGATTACTTGAACGTCTGTTTCAAATTTTAACAGAAGATGAAACGGGGAATAGATATATGTCAAGAAACGATTCGGACCGTTTGTGCGCATCCATGGAAAATGCATCGGCCATCCTTTGCAATATTTCGTCACTCGAATGCATGAGAAGTGGTAATCTGCTTGTATCTGTGGTCCCGTCTCTCGTAAGTGCTGTTTTGGAGCCCGTCGCAGAAGCTGCATGCTGTCGACTGAATAGCCGCAACGAAGATGGCGCGCCTCCCTACTCGTGCGCTCTCTATCGAAATTGTACAGCAGTAATACGGTAGGTTTGTAAATTGTTGTTTAATTAATTACACTTCATAAGAATGAGAACGTTATTGTAAAAATATCATGACTTGTGCTCATAACTTGTAAACATCTATTCACTGCTACAAAACTAATCAATTGACATACACATTTATGTAGCAAAGAGTTTGTTCGACAGAATCCTTGTATGTAAGTTTTTCATGAATTCAACTGCTCCCAAATAAATGTTCAATTTTCTGCACTAGAAAATATGAAGCTCTTGATAAAAGACAGGTGATTGGTGTAAAAGCCGAAGTCATAAAGATGTTGGATACACTTTACTACAAGTCAAATTTGCTGGTCCGCATGGGGATTTGATTTAGGTCCACACATAAAGGCATCGCAATGGCATCGCGCTTAACAGACCAGAATTAATGCTGCGCACTTTTGTAAATATGAAGCCATGGGATGCTTCTTCCTTGGCATGGGCATAAATTTTTAGGTCTCATAATACATCAATGTTAAAGAAAACAGTGACAATTTTAACTGAACTGCAGACGTGTTACATTTTTTCACTGATATGTGCCATCCTTAAGTAAAGAAAACCAACCAAGGGGTTAGTTTGTTAAACATTTAAGGAACCTTAGCTGCTCAGTTGACACCGACACTCGCAGCCTGCTCAGAAGGTGTCCGGGTCTGCTGGCAAGCCTCCTGACTGTGATGCACGTGGCCGGCGAGACAGGTTTGGCAGACACGAAGGCGGTGGAGAATTGTGCTTGCGCGGTCCGCAATCTCTGCTTTTCGCTGTGGGCGACGGTCGAATTTGCTGAAAGTGGTGAATCAGTCAGCAACAGAAGCGAGCGTGTTTCGAATCGAACTCCCAAAGGTGGATGCTTATTTAATTTAAATGTCTTTTACAAAGACTTTCTAACTATGATTGTATCGTTGTCATCGATGCGTAAAATATGCAGAGTGAAAATGAGAGGATCTTACCTATGCACCCTTCTTGCTGGTAGTTAGCTAATTTCTTAGCTTCCAACCTACCAGTCCTCGCAACGTATGACCAACCAAGGGGTTTCGGCAGGGTTATATGGTTCACTATTCATGTCCAACTGAAACGAAGTCAGATTAACGAGTCATTGTTGTTAGGCTTCTTGTGTCATCCTCCAACGCCAGAGGCCTAAGCCTTATTTGAAATGAGTGTTTGTCTAGAACACAGCATAATTTTGGCATGAATTACATTGCCTTCTTGTTAAGCTACTTGCTAGTTTTTAGACATCTCCATTGAAGTACGTTTCGCTCATAGAAATTCTTCAAAAAGCGCCTTTTGGTGATTTGCGTGGCTTTACATTTGCTTGCGGAATTAATTAAGTTGGACTCTCCACGTAGCCGTTCAAGGCCGATTGGCTGACTCATAAATGGCAATAGGCATTTAATGTGTTAAGTACAGATGCACGGAGGACTTACGTTGTTGACACTTGTAACTTCCGCATCAGTGTTAGAAATGCATAACGGAAAATCTAGTGTTCCAACATTTCTGGGTAACTGCCACGCGTCAAGGGTTTAATGGGGACGTTTATCGAAACAATGCCAAAAGTCGAGCGAGAGCATAACAATAGAAAGGCACCAGCGACATGCTAACGTGCCGAATTTGGAAACTGAGCGTTCAATTTATCTTGGTGTGGTGTATTTTGCTAATTGAAGTACTTTGATCCGTGTATCAATCGGACATTAGGCCACAAAAATTTGCCTACATAAGCAACTCTACTGTAATGTCTGCCACAATTCTAGCCGTTTTTGTCATCTTCCATAAACGTAACTTTAAATGTCCCTAAAACAGCTTAGGCAGGTTAGTTTATTACCAATTTCACCTAGCGGGAATATGTTTAACTAGTCTTGTCCGACTTCAGACAGTTTCCTTTTCACCCGCAAAATTACATTCAAGCATCCAAGTGACAAAGTTTTATTTTGTATAGCCACACAAATTAGCTATGAAATACCTGGAACCAGAAAATATTAGTCTTAAAAGGCGAGGATGCGGACAAGTTCTTTATTCTTCTTTGCACCTGTTCTCTTGTAACTGACTTCATTGACGAGACTCGATTTTACTTCAAAGAGTGAGCAGGTGTTCGATCTTATGATGACACAAAGCATTCAGGTTAAATGTACTAGTTGCCTGCACACCTTTCCTTGAATGCAAACTTCGAGCTGATCTTTCGTCAAGGTATTCAGCCATGGGCTTTCAATTTTCTGTTAACTTTTACCATCAAGTCATGTAATAGCGACAGCACTGCCCCACACTGATGCAAAGTGTTGATAAATTTTCAAGAAGTTGTTATTTTAACTTGGATAAACAGTTCTTGACAAAAAATGCACATTATTCTAGGTCATCCCCTATAAGTTGAATCAAGGTGAGGTCAGCCAATCACAACGACTAGATAAAATTTGGGGGCAACTTATCCCATTGGTACAAATACGGTATTGATTTTGTTGTCAAATTTTTTTCCCAAATGTCACCATTTTAGTGTATTGCGTGTGCTCTGATGTTGAATATAAATTGTTTTGGCTTCTTTCTCTTTACAAATGCAAAACACTGGTTAATCACAAAAAGAAGTTTACAAATTCTTTTGATTGTAAGTTAAATAGCAGAGGGCTTGTAAAATCTCGATTTATTGTAAAAATTGTTCTGCGAAAATTTGGGCTTTGTGCTAGCCCGTTGATTTTTGCAGAGCAGTTTATTTATTTGTATTATTCGTCATTACTCGTTCAAATGCGTTATTGAATTGAAACTATCAAGTACAAAATCATTGGATCTAAATGGTCGTTTTTAGGGTCCATCTTTCTAATTTAACTATGTCATTTTAATTATGCTGTTTAAAAATTGAACAGATGTCTAAAAGGAAAGCATATTTACTATCTTTGTTTAAAATGAGATTTTAATGTGACTGAAGTTACATTAACAAATTAACCTTGTAGACATGATACCCTGGGAAACACCGACAAAAGTCCCAGAAACACTTCTGTGGCACGCGAATGCCGTGGCCTGCTTTTTGACTCTGCTTCGTCGAGCATCGAATCCCGTTTGCACTGAGGCTGCAGCGGGAGCCCTGCGAAACCTCACCTCCAAAGCCAATTGGAGACCCGCGGAGATTGTCCGATCAGAGGTTAGAAGGCGTCTGATTCTTAGATATGCTCGTCCATTCAAAAATCAGTAATTGAGGAAGTAGGACTTGGTACGGTTAAACCACTACCCACGGCCCCGTTCCCCTCGAAGACCCATCGTACCAGGAACCAAAGAGAAGACAGATTATGATTGTAATTTATTTCGCTCACAGACGTGCTGTGTATGTTTATAAATAGTGTGGAATAGGGCATTGTGTGCATCATCGCGGTGCTATTAAACATGAAAAGCCTTCACTGACAAGCCAGCACAGATATTTCGGGAGTTGGATGAAGAGAAAGGAGAATCTGGTAGCACTCTGCGGTGCGTTTCCTTTCTCTGGAACACTGCTTGTGACAAAATAGTGCTACAATGCATCCTCGTTTTTGCAATATCAACTTTACATGCAGCAGTTTAAATGAAGTCATAAATTCACATCATTTTACCTTTCTGAGACAAATGAACCACCCAAAATATATGTACTTAGGGTAAGAAACTGCTTAATTTGGCCAATCGATTTCCATAATCGGTGTATTTTTAATAGTTTTTTGCCTCATTATTGAAAGAAATTTGGACATTCAACTATTACTTTGAAAACCAACTTCACTGCCATTCATGGATATTAAAATAGGTGACAAGGTGGTCGTATGTAGAGTTTGCAGCTTCGGTAGGGAAAAAACTTGACACGAAATCATTGTTTTCTTTAACCTCGATAGGGGTAATTTGGGCCCCGTTGAGGAAAGCTGATTCAATCGTGCGCAGTGCTGATTTTAACACACGCATCCAAAGTTGTATTTTTTGGTAACTTCCTTCCCAAGGTTCGTCTGCAGCACGGTCTTCCCGTCTTAGTTGACCTTCTTTGCGTCTCAAACAGTGCTGTCGTCACAACCGTGGCGATGGCCCTCAGGAATCTGTGTGTGGAAAGGGAAACACTTGAGGTGCTGGGACAACAAGCCATCCCAGTGCTCGTGTCGTGCCTCTCTGCTGTGCCTGAGACCCCCAGGAGTCGTTCACTGTCCAGTCTCAGGTCGCTGGCCTCATCTCCCCGTAACCGGCCTCAACTGACTAGCCACGCTCTGGCAGCAATCCTTGCTTTGTGTTCCACGATCATCTTAGGCCACGAAAAGTTCGCAAGGTTTGTTCACGGTTAATTCTCTTTGTGGTAATTTTTACAGTTGGACGTTTGAGAAATTCCGACTTAAACTACTGAGCACATGAAATTCGGCGGGATTTAAATTTCCCTTTTTTTACCTGGGGTCAAACAAAAACCACCTGGTGCCTAAAAAAATTCAACACTTTGAAACTGTTGTACTGTTAAGTGGCATAAATGTGAAGGTAAGAGCATATGGTCGAGTTTTAGGTATGGGCTGGATTTTTTAAAGTCAAATCTTTATATAAACATCATAAACTTGGGATTTAAAAAGTGCCAAAATGCCTGGATATTTCAGTTGAGATAAAAATCTTAAGGCATGTTTGTTAACTGATGTTTTTTAAAACATCTTAAAAGTATCAAACGTTATGGTAAGGTTTCAGCTGATTTGTGCTTAGATAAAAAGCGAACAAGTTCATCGCATGGGCCCTCAATTTAAGCGTTGAAGATGCTCCTAAACGGCCTTACAGAAATTTGAGGTTACAGATACGATAATCTGAGTATTTTTTTGCTTTCGTAGCTCTCCACATACAAATCACTTGTAGCATTGATAATATTTTCCATTCTGAATTTGTTTTAATTGAAGTAAGCACATTGTTTGTTGCGTTCACCGGTGACACAAAACACGCCAAGTGAAAATGCATAAGACAACTCTGCTGACCAACGCAAGTCCTAAAGGTAAACAGCCGCAAAACAGTCTAACCGAGTGTGCGCGGTCAATGTGCCCACTTCAAAATGTATCTCGATTAGTCTTGGCAGATGGATTAGGATGGTTGGGGGGGAGGGGGTGAGTGTTTGGTGTGAATAGAGAAGTTGTTTAAAAGGATAAAATCGTGAGATTAAATGCAAATGTCCACTTGAGGTATTATGATTCCCTCATCTCTCAAGTGGCATAGTTACCGGCTCATACCGTGACCATCATGACAAAAAATACGAGTGAAGCCTCAAGGCAGCTGTACTAAATAAGCCCTGAATTAAATTATGAAAACACATGCAACTATGTTACCTTACGCATCTATTTTTGAAAGTCATCTCGGAAGACTCATTTGGAGAACTTGCAGGATTAAAAGCAACATTTGATATTTATGCACCCGATGCTACCTAGTTCCGGTACGAACATTATTTCAATTATATACGTTTTGTTGTAAGATTGGGTGGGCAAGTTTTTTGACTCGATACAAAGACGCCTCTAGTTTCTGCATAAATTATGGCCGGTAACAAGCACGGAAATCGTGATCTCAGAATTCCAAAAACGTTAAAGGAATTTTAGTAGTTTCCTGTGAGAAACGAGAACAAGAATGTTATTTTGTTGTCGGAAAGTTGCATTGCGCATATTTCACAGTCAGTCTGCTATTGCATGCAAGTGCGCTTTGTTTGTTAATAACATTAAAATACTTGAGTTAAGAGGGACTAAAATTACTAAGTCAAGTTTTGTGTCCTACACTACTTACGGGATCTGCAAGATCTCTTTTAAGCTAAGCTACTGAAAAAGTATGTAATTGAAACAACAGGCTGTGGATGCGGCGAAACCACATTTCTGACCTCACATTCGATGAGACCATTAGAGAAATACCGGCGAGTGTGGACGCAGAGGTTAACTTTTATCCCTTGCTACTTAAAGGCCATAAAGTGTAAAATACGAATTTCGCTGTTATCAGTACAATTGTGCTTGCAATTAATTTTTATGTAAATAGGTCTGAAGATAGGACATAACCGCTTTCTTTCAGAGTCAACACCATTTGTTATCTATTTGGCGTTGTTATTTTAATTAGACATGTTTTAAACAATTCAATTTATTCAATAGGCTGGAAATTGAAAGTCCTTTAGACTCTACGAATTATTTTTAGCACCTGGAAAACTTTCTTGAAATAGTCGATGCAATGGCATCTATTTCTGTCGTTTTACCTTAAAAGCAAAACTGAAAAGCAACTTTATTTTTATTTTAGAATTCATTGGTCATGCATTTTGTGTTTCATTATTTTATAGTTTTGTAAAAGTTGTTTGAGGCGCAGTCGGGCTACTAAGACCATTGCATGCCAAGCAAATAGTCGAGATGTGTATCCGTTCGAATGTTTTTGATTTTACAAATTGGGTGCATTATTTTGATCGACGGACACATTAGATTTACAGAAGGGACTGCTTTGCGGTTAGTATAATTTATTTTTCTGCTTAATGACCTTTTTTTTGTATAATAGTCACTAGTTGGATTTCATGTCTTTACAGCATTTATCCTTGTTACTAATTCAATGTTGCATGCAACGGGAACATGCCTGTCCGTTTGCAAATGTACTCGAATTTTAATTTCCGACAGTTACAAATTCTTTCCAGTGACATCTTATTTACATAAATTGATTGCCCATTGTAGCCTTTCATATTTGCCATTAAATGAACATGCAGAATTTTTGGTTTATTCAAAAAATAACTTCATGCGTATTTTTCTAGCACAAATTACTCGTAATCGGCCCTTTCTAGCTGTAACACAAATGTCAATTAACTTTCATACTGTTAATCAAAGAAAATAGAAAATGACGCAATCAAAGGTTAAACGTTTGACAATAAGATCAACATTCTTTAGTAATAAAAGTGTTAGTTAAGTAGGAAACAAAGGTGCTGACAACTGAGGCTGTAATTACTACCTGCAGAATAGTTGTTTAGGAGCGGCTATTGTTATTAATTCTATGATCTGATTTTCCAAGTAATTTACAATTAACTGAAGTAGAAAAAAAGACCTTCAAGAATTGAAAAAGGGAGTTTGTGGTGTTAGATATTGTGATGCTTTTGTTACAGGCAAAAAACATTTGCTGTGGTAGGGAAAATGATGACTTGGGCTTTAGAGGAGAACGGCTGCATAAGTCGCTTTTGTAACTTATGGAGCTGCAAACATGAGTATCCAAAATATGGAAAGAAAAATTCTTTGCAATTTTAATGTAACGGCACTGCTTGTGCGCCCAAAGTTTCTGCTCCTGGTTGAATTTCAGCCCTGTAATGAAATAACTTAAGGCCCAATTTTGCTATCATTTCACTTGTGTTTCATGTGTTTCTCCGAAATGACTGTCATGCGGTAAATCGATTGTATTCCTTACCTCCTTAATCTTAATTCTAATGTCAGTGGCCAGAGCAGTAACTTACCATGCGGTATCGTCTTTGATGTTTCATGTTTTGATCAAAGTCACTAATGACAGTTTTATGTAAATCTCTTCTCTGTACAAAATACTCCTGTAATTATTTTCTGACCCCGTAATTAAACTATGTAAATCGAATTAGCTAGTAACTAAACTGAGGGCTTATCGCTGAGCCCAGTAAACAATGAGGTAAGAAACGTAACCTCATTTTAACACATCAAGCAGAAAGTGCGATTCCATTTTCCATGCAATTAAGGCGCACTTGACGTAGATTTTGGGTGTGTCCGTGATGATCGTAAACCTCTGACGTATTCTATGAAAACGCTGAATGTAAATTTTCCCATCTTTTTAGTCGGTTTGTTGAACTTGGTGGAGTGCAACAGTGCAATTACCTACTTCAAACACTACGTAGTGAACAAGTGGTGACACGACAAGAATATCAAAACATCTGCGGTGAAGCGGCATGCAGACTGCTTGAAGCCTTGTGGAAGATGAAGCCTCTACGACAATTGTATAGCAAGGTAAACTTCGGGCAATTTAAATGTTTTTCTTAAGAAAACATCGGCACTTTATAAAGGTCAACCTCCTATGGCGTTTACGAATTTGATTGCGTGTAAAATCCAAAGTATCTCATCATATTTAGCAGTCATTGTGTTGCAACACCAAACTACGATTCAAACGATGCCCTCGACCTTTGCGTAACTCTTTTAAGTAGAACACTGGAGCCGTTTTAAAGTTGAATGTCCAATCATCACATTTCGACTTATCGGAGGATTTACTTTCGCTTCATCGTAATGCTCTCGTGGCCACAAATAGCACTGTGCTACTTTAGTACCCCAAAATTTTTTTATCATACATCTCTCCGATAATTCCCCTTTAATAGCTATTTAGTCATATTTGATACTTTAGCCATCATTTAGACTGGCCCTTTAATTATTGGTTCGTGATTATGAATTCAAGCTTTCCTCCGGATCCGTACCACATTTGTATCTATTTCGCTAAACAGTTGTCCTTGCACGGTAGAACTATCAGAATACCCAAACCATGAATTTTGTTATGGTATCAATGTATTTTTTTTTGCACTAATATCAGTCTTAATTCTGCCATTCTTTTCTACCAAACTCCAAACGCATTTTGTGGTTGCTGGCATATCACCACTGACCCTCATCCATCTTAAAACTTACAATTTACCTACTAACAGCCGTCTTATGTAGGAGTTGCCCCCCATCAACCTGTCGTGATGCGTCCACGCAAGTGAGCAATCACGATGTCTGTCCTAATGTTCGTTAACACCCATAGAGCACGAGAACAAGGAAAGGTGTTTGAAGGTGATACGTCGAGGCGGCCACAGCTCGCGAATTCGTGCGCTAGTCGCCGTGTTTCCTTGTGACGTGTGTGCATGGACGTGGGCGTTGGTACAGGGAGCTTGCGAGCGGAGCGGATTCGACCAATGAAAGCCACCGCTGAGTCACATATGCTAATCGCCTTCAAATTGTGCTCATTCAAATAAAATCCCACTAAAATGCCTCCGCCTACACTCCACCACACAGATTCACTTTTTTGAGTTTCCACTAGCGCCAACAGAAACTTAGCCCTTAATGCTGATTTATAAGGTGAATTCTAGACATGGTTATATTGGCGAAAACCCTAAAACCGTCTTGGTGAGAAAGTAACCAAGACCAAATATCTAGAAACTCGCATGAACACTACTGTGTCAAGTGTGATAAAAAAATTAATATTTTAAGAGGTTTTAAATTCACAACGTGCCTTTGGCTTGGGAGAAGAAAGTCGGACATGTCTCTCTAGACCCACCGACATTCATCATCAAATACTTTTTCATCCAACATCTGTTACTTTCTACCTTGTCCAGGTGGGATTGACAGGGGCGGATTTTCTCCAAAAAAACACGAACAGACCAAAAAAGATGATTTCTGCTGAAAGCAGACCGAGCCGAGTTCCACTAACTTTGGCTCAACTCCACGCAGACTTTAAGAATAGACGAAGAATGAAGAGAGATCAAGCACATCCTCACCAGAACAACGAACGACATCAGGACATTCGAAGGCTCCCGTCCGCGGCTTCCTCAATGTGTCAGCTTAATCGCTTTTCCGATAATACGATCAGGTTGGAGAGGGGCCAGTCAGCGGATAGGTGGAGAAGACTTGACGCCCCTCTCGATCCCGAATGCTCAACCAAGGTAAGGGCGCTCTTTTCCACGCAACCCTGGGATGATGAGTGGTCGTCTATCTTGAGGGACCAATCACTTAGTAATTACATAAGAGCAAATCGGAAATGCAATTATGGACGTCCAGCTTGGAATAGGTCTTCATTAACAATCATTCTATTAAGAATGTAGGATATTTAAATAGCGAAGTCCAGTAGCATTCGTATGAACATGTTAGGGTAACTTTCTTTTTCCTACACGAAGCGGTCATGAAATACTGGCTTGCGTTAAAAGCTGCTTACATTTATATTTTGAAGAAATTTGCTAGTAACATTACCTTTAGTGGAAACACAAATTTTCTTGACTCAGAGGAACAGTGATTATTTTACGTTTTGTGCTGATCAGACCTGAGAGGCAGTAAGATGTTTGCCTTGTAAGGTCACAGGAAGATATTACGGCCACAAATGAACATTTAACGGTAATGTTGGGAAATTTATGTACTTTTAGAACTCGTGACCTTGTTTAATAAATAATTGCAGAAGGGAAGCCCATTATGCAGTGTGCAGATTTCCTTGATTTGTATCATTGATGTGACAAACCATTACCAAGGCTGCTAGGCTGTCAACATAACCGAACGGTACCAGAATGCCCAGTACAAATGTTATTTCTCTGTCTCGACTTAATAATTTTTTTTTCACTTTATGCCTCATGGGTCAACAGTTAAAAGAAAGCTAAAACTTGTAAATGTTCAGACTTATTATAGCATCTGCATCTCCTAAACATGAAAACCACCTAAGATTTTAATGATTACTCACTTTTGTTGACATTTGAGGGATACGATTAGTACAAAGCATAAAAAGGAGCAAATAACATCTATTTGCACAAAGTCCACTTTTTCTACACACGTTTTTGTGCATTTTTAGAATTTTCACAATTGGTTCAGAGCAGGAGATCTACACGCCTTGCGTGATAACCAGGAGGAAACAATGGTGAACAAGCCTCCAACGTTGCCACCAAGGGGACGTGCGCAAACCAGAGGCACAATTCCCCATCTAAACACATCCTCAAGCAGATCGTTAAACAGAACATAATGAGAATTTAAGTGATGAGGTTTCTTCTACAGTTTTCAAAGGGATTTCTTCTGTATTTTAAACAATTTTAGTATTGACTTGATTTAATATTGTATTGTAGGCTACTTATCATGATGGAAAAATAAACGTTGAAAGACGTGATGAGCAAAGGCATTCAGTGATCTTGGATGGCCATGTCCCATTTGAAGTTTTGAGCCATTTTTCTTGTCAACAAATTTAAAGTTATTATAAATCCATGTTGGTTCAATTGCTAAGTCGAACTGCTCAAAAACCCTCAGCTCTAAAGTATGTTGAAATGCCTACTGCTTTTGACGAACATTCTACATCTTTAACATAATTTGTTCCGACTGTCAACGAGCATGTCTATGGCTATAAGGCTTAAATATCGTTTTGGTAATCTGATTTACCTAATTATGCGTGTTCTGTGCTAAGCCCAAAAGAAGAATGCATGTCAGAACATTTGCGTGATCTTTTTTTTAAATTATTATGCCATCTCCTTTTAAATGATGATTGCGAAAACCATGACCAATGAAATAAGGCAACGCTTTATGTCGTGCTTTCTGCGAGAACTGCCTCACTTTGTCACACTTAAATTGCAGAAACGCGTTGAGTACGAAGAAGAAGCTTTAAAATGTACACAGCGGAAAGTATTGCAAGCAATTTATATTATCTTAATCACATCGACATTTTTGAATGTTCATTGTTAATTCAAATTATGTTAGTTTATATTTAAAAAATTGTATGCACCTTTGTTACGGCCTGCAAGGTTTGTTTTGACAGCGGCCATGTTTTAGACAGCCTCTCATAAATATCGTGCAATTTAGTTCTTTGTTCACTTCGAAATAGTATTATTAATTTCATCTGGTTTTTAATGAGAAGTGATTTAAATTTAAGGCTATAAAAATAAAGTAATGAGCAAAATTGAATTGAATATGTATACTTTTAGAAAAAATCAAGTCCTGGAATATTAACAGCATTGCCAGTAGCAAACCTTAACGGACATCACCATCTTAATTCGTCCAGAATTCACACCAGGGAAGTTTGAGGCTTAAATCAAAAGCCCTAGGTCAATGTTTAGTAAGTTTTATTCAAATATCACCATAATAAAAAAACTGGCCACGCTTACAATAATGAAAATTTTAAAACATGAACCTTTACAATATTTTTGTTCATATCATGTCTTAAAAAATTAGCTCCAGAGCTCAATACTTGATTATCGTGTTGTGGTAGTTTAATAAGGCACAATTTCACAGGTTGTTACAAACTATCACGATTATCCTTTTCCAAGTATTATCTGCCTGTATTCGCTTCTGACATGCTGTTTAGCTTTATTAAAATATACATATTTTTTGAGATTAGCTAAGTCCTGTGACATCAAGCCTCATTTGGCACCAGGAATTGCATATTCCTTGGGCGTGGCGCCTGATTTGCTAGTTTGGTGATAAGTATGCATTGTGCCAAGTTGGAAATGCTGCGGATGAGTTAATAAGACTGGGAAAAGCTCTGCTTTTGATGAATTTTCTCAAATTTATTTAACATGGATTAATCACATACTGCTACTTTGGCACATTATATAAAACACCTACTAATCTTGCCTGTTTCAAAGTCCATCTTTTTTCAGCATTTTTCAAATTTTGAACAAGTTTAAAAAATAGTCACACGCTGTGGAGACCATCATGCATGTTGTCCATGCTGTCCCCTGCATAAGCTTTTAGTTCAACCCAAGACGAGACATCCTGCTATGAAGCCTCCAGTCAAAATTAAATTGATTCACAATAAATAAGTTGTGATAGCAATTTCAGGGCGACTGAAATTATGTATGTATCTCACGGTTTTATTACTCACAAGGGATTGAATTCAATTAATCGTTTGCTTCGAGTTCGACTTTAACTGGCACTAAAATGGATAAATATCAAGCTTAAAATCGAAGTTCCCTAAAGTGAGAAGTCACCGAAATTACATTATTTTAATCGAATTCACGTCTTTTTTGTCTACGTTTAGTAATATCCTTCAATGCTATATTGGTAAAGGAACGGACGTTCCTTAAGCATTACTTGCAATTTTTTCACTACTATTTTTCTGACTTATCTCAAATTTGACCACGGTACCTCAGGAAGTCATAAGTAAGACACTGGTGGAAAAATTGGTATATAAGCATAGCTAATATTCCGCGGTAGATCAATGCTCGTGCGTCCAGCTTTGAAGCCCACGCAAGATGAAGCATCTGTTTAATCCCAGTCCCAAGCGCTCTACTTTAGACTTAAACTTGTTTAATAAGTCGGCAAATACTAAAGGGAATAAGAAGAAATTTATTGCACATAACAAGAGCACATAAAAATAGATGAAAGAGAAGAAGAACCAAGATGGGCCAGAGGACATGGCGACACAAAGGGATCGCACTCTCGGACGAATAATATCAGCACAACAACGCATGTGCGTGTGAAGTGATTGTTCACACTTATTTGCCGTCTTGAAGAGACAGCTAGTCCCGAACTCCGGGGGTGGACACGTGATCGGTGATGGCCTCCCCGGTGGACCTCACTTCGGTGCCTGCTGACCCGCTGTCCGATCGCGAGGCCAACTGGAACCAGGCCTCGAAGCGCCGATAAGGCGGTCGAAACACCGCCTGCCAGACCTCGCGCCTCTCAGCCTTCGCCTTCGCGCCTAGCGTCAGTCCACCGATAAAGTCGTTCGTCACTCCTCTGTCGAAATCCCATACGGTTATCTCCAGTGTCCGCTTGTTCACCTCCGAAGCGTCCATTGCGAAGAAGAATTGCTGCACAATAGTACACGAAGTAGCAGTTCTATGAACACCTAATTGTATTTCAATTATAAATATTGGCTAAATCATCAGTGGTAGCTGTACCAACGCCAAAACAATGCCCATCTCTCATTGATACTTAGAAATAAATGCACTGACTCCTACTAGTTCCCTTTCATTACGAGTATTGATTGCCTTTTGATAGAATAAACCTGAGTAAATGGAACGGCCTAATTGCTACTGTCAAATGTTTGCAAAATTTGAAATTTAAAGCTTCGTCCCTAATGGTAATTGATTTTAATGTTTGTTGATTTGATCTGTTAGAGACGAGCTTACAAATCAAGATATCTACAAATAATTTCCAGATTTTAAGTGGGTTCGGACTTGCAATAGCACTGAACAAGTCCGCGCCTGCTGCAAATTTTTATGCCTAAGGAGCATGCAATATCAAGTGTTATTTATTTAATAGGTTATTATAAGCTGAAAGGATGTAATTGGTCAAGCAAACATTTGCTTAGCAAAATTTGTATTTTATCCCAAGCATTAACTATTATACTGATTTGATAATGATGCTTCAAAACCATGTTTTTAATTAAGCACACTCGCTTTTATTCAACTGTGAACGCTTTTGAAGGTAAAATTCTGACTGATTTAGCGTGTCCCTTAAAGTGTATGAAAACAAACCATAAAAACAAACCCTTTCTGCACTGTGCATAATCGTCATTTTTCAACGATTTAGCTCTCGTTGCCATAAAATGGGAACTGCCGTTTGACATCAAAGCTAACAACAATCTTTCTAATGTAAATTTGCAACCAACATGGCGGTAAAAATTCGAATCGCTGATTGGTCTATCTCCTGACTGCCTGCATTCACGCCAGGTTAAGCCCCTTAAATGTAGATTGCGTTAATCTGGTTGCGGTGGTCAAGAGGCAAGCCAGGGCAATGTACTATTGTTACTTCTTTACTAGTTCCAAAATTTGTCAATTCATCTATTTTGAAAAAAAGATTTTGGGCTTTTAGCAGAGATGTTTTAGGTAATTCGTGTGTTTGACCACGGTAGCGTCCCAATCAATGAAAACTGAGATATCAGCTCCAGTATCAGGTTTAGTACGAATACTCAATTTACTAATCAGGAACTGCTTAAATTGGACACTAGTGATACCACGCAGACGTTGCAAATTAGAGCATATCTTCGTATTTTGGTAGAAATATTAGTTACACTAGTTTGCGTTAAAATTAAGGGATATATGAGTAACGATTACAAACTTTTTGTGCAGATGTTTGCTCTACAACTTTGCAATTTTGGGATTAAATAATAACAGTCTAGAGAACTCACGGTGTGCAACTATCATAAGTGCCTGATAGAAATATGTTATAAAAAAGAGCAGAAGAGCAACCTTCGTCCGAACCATTAAGTTGAGGTCAATGAAACCAGAAGACGAGACGGTGAAATCTGCTTTGCCTGATGGCCTATCCATGATTGCAAACACCTATGTCTGTAGTTTTATGTATTTTCATTAGGGCACAGTTTTCGTACATTTGAACGTAAGTTTTCACTTTTGATAAATGTCGAAACAGCTGTAGTGCTGTGGGGTTTCTTACCTCGTTGAATTCAGGGAAAAGAGTTGCTTTCTTAACCTTGGTCTTTTGTTTGGTTTTCCGTAGCTTATCGGGCCGAAGATATCTAAAATGCGAAAAAAACGTCTGCAAAAAAGTTGTAAATTAAATATTGCTCAAGGACTTGTTTATTCAACAAATTTGGACCTAAAAATCTGACACTAGGCGAGATTTTGTCTTATAAAGGTAGGCCGAAATTTATTTTCATTCTGGTATTGCTGCAGTGACATCCACATACAACTCTACTTACCCAATAATGAAAATAAATGATATTTTCATGATGGGATACGCACACAAAAGAACAATCTTATAAGACCTCTCCATTTCCTTATGTGCATGTGTTTATGCTTAATTTACGTTGGTGTTCCTAAAATTGGCATATATTCAAGGTCTAATTTAAACCGGCGTTTGCTGACAAAAAGCCTAACGGTACAGGGTTTTTTCTTAATTATTACATCAATCAGATGAATTAAGCGCAACGAAATCCAGCTGGCCTATTCGAGACCCCGATGTGCAAACTTAACCATTTCCATGGGCAACAGTGAACCCATAGGCATAAAATGAACAGCGATATACAAATACGTGAGTCTGGTGTTTGATGGTTTGAGCTGTCAAGAACCACATTCACCGGACATAACTTTAAGCACACAACAGCAATACACCAGACACAAGGAGCAATTTTTTGTTTTGTTTGAACACCACGTTTAATGTGAAATGCTGGCCATTTAATCGGGCAATGGCTTAAGCTATTATTCAGCAAGACTTTTTAAATTTTAAATGTAAATTAATTATGTAAAAGTAGATTCTGGGCAGATCAGTGTGTTATGACAAAGGATCACCAATTTTATTTTCCTGGTCTTTAACACGACCGCCACGAACTTCGACGCCCACCGCATTTTTTGTACAATCTCCTTTAGAATAGTTTATTATATGCTGAGATAGCACTTACAACTTTACAAAGGGGTCAGATAATCCATTGTGGTCCATTGGGGCAAGATCGGCACATCGAAGAACCTCCACACAGAGCTGTTTGGTTTCCTCGACGAAACGCAAAGCAATCTGGATTTTTCCTCGGGTAGGAGTTGCCAGGTCATCAATCTCCTTCGGTAGCTTAAAGAAAAACGCAAATAAGGTGGCCCATCTGGTGTGTTAAGTGCGTTTCGTCCACTCGCTTGGTCTCACTATAAGTGCCGCGAAACTCCTTTACATGACTCCTAAATTTATGTACAGAGAAAGGCTAGTTCGCCAGTTCCATTGAGAATTGCTCCTTTAATATTTTGTGGTTTTAATCGTGTTGAAGAATATATGCCTATAGTAAGCTATTAATGTGCATAAAAGCACACAATTTGCATATTTCCTTGACTTGTAGGAATCTCAAACCAAGGGTACCCTGCGAAAAGGAATGCACTTACGCCCTTAAGTGCACAGCTGCAAGGAAATAGATTTATTAATTAATAAAGGATGAAAAACGTACCGGTTTACGGGGATTTAAAGGCACGGCAAACTCTGATAAAATGTCTGGTAACAATTCTCCAAGACCCAGACGATATTCGCCCAACCAATCCGCACCAAAAATGTCCTCGTCTAGTACGGCAAACCTGAAGACATGAAGAGCAATTGCTTAAATGTGTGCACGGGCTACAGTGTGGAATCCAGACATCTCAGTGCTGCAATCACTGAAACAGTGTGGCCTTCACACCGAGCAATAATTCGATGAAAGTGCTAAGCGTCCTGCCTGAGCATGATTGTGACTAACGTAAAGCAGAATGATTCCTCAGGTGAAAATTACTTGAAGTAAAGAGATCCAACCAAAGAGGAGATTTAATCAGAAAAGCTTTCTTAGATATGGAAGATTCGGTGGCATACTGGCAATGATCCTCCATTAATAGTGTATTCCCTAAACTTATGCATAAAGTCAGCATTAATTTAAAATTTTCTTCTCAAAATTTTTGGAATTAGCCTGAAATTCAGGTCGTTATTTGAGATTTGTCTTTTATAACATAAGAGTATGAAAAGTTATTACACAAATGCAACAAAGTTATACAAAGAACTAATTACTGGCTACAAATTTGTAGTGAATATGTGGGAAATAAAACGTGAAAGAATGTGATCAATAATCGCAACGCTGCATTATCCAATAAATGATCCTTCTGCTACAAAACTTGCCTGCATTCTATATTTTCAACTTCCAGGCTCCCTTTGACTCCAAGCACCCTACTAATGCTGTTTAGTGCCATTAATGAGCTCCCAGTTCACTCAATAAACGTCATTTCTTGTCATTTTTATAATGAAAAATTAACGGGCTCTGGAATGGAGTGGAGGGCAGTCGCAACTGATCTCCCCCATGAGAAATGGCAGACGCATCGTTGCAATAGAACAATGTACACTGCAACCGCCTTTTATTGCAAAATGATTCCTTTAATGGTTTGAGTCGGGTTTCCTGAGTTTATTCGTGATGCTCAACGAGTCATTAGGACTGTTGGGCAACTATACATTTGAAACTCCTTAAAAACTTCATTTGTCATTGTGCAATATCTTGTTTTCAAAAATGATCCTTTGTTGATCGACGGTAATTGTGTTCTTGAGATTCAGACATTATGTTTTATGTTTTAATACCCTTAATAACGACACTGTATCAAATTGGACGTCTAAATATAACATATATTTAATCTCTAGTATATTATTAAATGTCATTGACACACCGCTGCAGTGATTTTTGAGCCAATAATATATATAACTGCAATTTGTGTATGTCGAAAGGCAAAATAATGTTTTAACTCATCAAAAACAGAATCGAATTTTTTTATAAAAATTCAACTTTTCTGTGCTATCGAAAAGTTGCCCTTTACTTGAATTCACTCAACGACAGGGAGGCCAATCTGCATCTAAATTATTATTGACTTCTGACTTTTGGACATTTTACTATACACCGTTGACTTGACCAGTTTTTTCATTCACCCCGGCTTTTGATACTAACCTGAGAACCCTCTTTTCTACTTTTTTGTTGTCGAAGTCAGTAAAGGTGTATGTTTCGTTCCAGATGGGGTTGAGAGTCTGAGGTATTGTTCGAGTGCGAAAGCGTTTACCAGCCGCCGGCAGCAGTTGGCACACCACGTATGGATCTGATAGTCCGTTTGCATCCATCGCAACCAGGTTCTACAAGAAAATCGAGTGGTAGCCATTTGAAATTATGTTTATATAATTGCCAATGACCCCTCATCAATGCAAACAGTTAAAATCGTTATTAATCCCAATCTCTGATCTCCCCTTGATGAATTAAATCTGCTTATAGACTGGATGCCCTTTAGAAGCAAATATTTATTTCGATACCAACAAAGAACTAACCAATGGTTTTTAGGGTTACCTAACTGACAAGTTCACATGCGGTGTTAGTTTACAATATTATTTGGTAGTTACGGGTTTCACTGGAATCATGGCTGTGGTCGTGCGTTCCCTACTAAGCGCAAAGTACTTGCTTAGATATGTAACCATAGTGATGGTAGTGGAATGTGGCCGTTTAAATGGAATTTACTTGCATAATTTTAGACGCTTACACTATAAAGTGATGCTAACAAAAGTGTTCGAGCCTACATTACCGATCATATTTTAATGCTAGAGTGGAGGGACACTGTCAGGTTTTAATGTTTGTTATCCGTAATAAGGTCTCCGAAGTTAATGGCACTTAGGCTCTTTCAACACAGTAAATTGCAATGACTTACTAAGTATGTAACCTTCTTAACCAGTATAGAATCAGCATGTTCTTACAATGACTGCTATATAGTCTCACTGGCCTTGTAGTGAACTATCTCACAGCCAGCACGGTTAAAAGAGAATATCTCGAGGGAACTGTCAAAGAACGAGTGTGAGTGAAATTTATTCACGAGTTGATCTGATATCAACGACTGGTGATTACGGATGGCAACCAATAGTCATGCTCACGCACACTTACAAGTCAGCACTTGGCTGGTCTCTCAAAAATTAGAACCAGTCGCATTCGCTGGCGCCTGCCTTGCTTCTATTTTTACTTGTTACGGGCTTACTAATAGTGTTGTGAGGTAGTTTTAGTCAATCACTACAGCCTAAATTAATATGATACCAATCAACAGCTGGACAACTTTTAAGGATTGAGTGAATCATATAATCAGTGGGGAATGCCCGCAAGCGGTTGTGAGTAGCCATTAAAGGTGATTGTGGATATTTTGGCTTGGTTGAAATCGTCACGGCAGGATCCACTCAGAATTTGATATCACTGTCAGTCGCAAAAGAGATGGTTTTAACCTGTAGCATAACATAATCTAGGATTAGATATGGCGAATTAATCTATCAATCGTGAACGATTGCTGATAAATCCATTTGCTTTTAATTTGAATGGAATCCATTTTATCAAACTAACTCCGTAAATACAGTTTCGGTTTATAAAAATTAAACCTTTAAGATTTTGGTCATTGAGGTTACACAATCACTAACATCTAAAATAACCACAGCATTTATCAGTAGAATGAGGTCTTTCTTGAGGTGTCTTACTTTAGCATTGTGTATCCGGACGTGAAGTTCGCAGTTGCTAACATCGTGCATAACGGAAAAGTACAGGATCCCCAAGGGTGCTAAAAGTAAGCAAATGAACTGGAAAAATGTGCATTAAGTTTGTGTTAAGCAAAAGCATGAACAACCATGTGGAAACTTAATATGGAAGCGCTATTAAAGGGTGATGATCATTTACTTTTTCTTAGTTAATGTATTTCACGAATAATATAAGCCTAAATGTTTGCATAAAACAATTTAATTCAAAAATTTCGATAACAATCAATCTGAGTCAGCATGTTGTGAAAAAAATCATTAAGTAATTATTAAGTTCAAGAGAATATTTCTTCTACAAAATAAACATTATAACATACCCTCTGCGAATGAAATAGGAGACTTTCTTAAGAATGAACCGTCTTTGTTAAATGTGAGTTTTGGTGGAGAAGCGGATGTAGGTGGTGCAATGTTGGAGCTATTGAAGCCCAGACCTAGACGAGCTTCGGGGAAGAGACTTTGAACTTTCGATTCCTTTCGAAGTTGAGGAGGTCGATCAGCCGACTGAAAGCCACCCTGAGAGAGTGAATCAGGTATTTCGGATGTCAAATTCGATTCCATTTTACCCATTGTTGATTGGCCCCATGGCTGTTGCTGCTGTGACGGCAACTTCCATGATGCAGCTTCCGAGGGACCGAGCGTGTCGTTCAGGTTGGCTGTGCTGCTGGCCATGCTGTTGCTTCCAGAGATGGCGACCGCTGCGCCCGAAGCAGACTCAGTTGGCTTCTCAATTGGTGGCTGTGTGGGAAGCCGCCCAATCTCTTGTGTGTTTCGAACTGCTTTTGAATGAATGAGGCTTTGTAAATTTGACAGATTTACCTTAAGTGGAACTTTTAATACATTTTGCAAAAGAAAAATTTGGATAATTAGGCCTCCGTTAAAGCCACTACCAACTCGATTTTTGTTAAATGCATGCCAGATGATAACTTGAAGAGTTGAATTACGAGGTAATTCATTATTTTGCCTCCACCTTTGAACATCAATTCCTGTACATAGTTACATGTTCGTACGTTCTTTGTGGTGTACGGGACAAAATTAGGCATTTTTTACAGCTTTTTAGGCAAGATAATTTTTTGACCACCCAGAATTGTCGGGGAGTGTTATAAAATCTTAAAGGCAGTAACTTTAAGTGTTGCAAATTCCACAATTGCACTTTTTTCACATTCACAGAAGGTGTCAGTAGACCAAATTTATGCTCGTATATATATTCCAAGAGTACTATGATTTTACGTAGAGATCAAAGTACACATTTTACGGTCACGTAGATGAGACTAACTCATCCTCAGAGGATACACAAATACCATGCCCACCTCAGGATATCTTCAGATCTAACAATTTCTTAAGGCGAAACTTTGAAATTGTTTTACGCATAACTTTAAAAACTAAAGAGCAGCTGCATATTCAAAGAAATCGTTATGTATGTAAAGAATATTGCAACAAAGAATATTTTAAATATGACCTACACAGTCATGATATAAGGACAATGGTTCGATAAAAATAACTGCAATTAGTTTAAAATCAATGCTATTTTTGAAGTAGAATCATCATATGTATTTGCTCCCATTTTCATACAACTTGATTTTAGAAACGAGCTCACAACCTGAACATTTGTACAGCTAAATTCGTACTGAAACCGCAGACGTAAAGTCTTTGTTGCAATAAATTATCCAACTCATCAATTAAATTATTGACATCTTGCTCTTTGTGACTGATTACTAAACAACTACTAACATTTGGTGATGATAGTCTAAGTGATTTAAAGTGAATACATGTAACACCAATACGTGTGAAAGCCTTTAAAACAAACATTATTAACGCGATATTGAGTTTAAAATATTGGTTGCGTGTTAACGATGCATCGAATAATATGTCTTTGCAAAAAAAAGTTAGTTCGATAGTCGGCACTTTCACCTTTATTCAATTCAAGATCGATTTATCCATTTACAATGTCAGGTCACTGTTCGTTAATACGAAACCAAGTGAATGGGTGGCCAAATTAATGGTCGCAGTATAGACACCTAGAGTGCATAAATTTGAAACCAGTTAAATCAAGAGTGTTAAAGCACCGTAAAGTGTTCATTGATGTTATGGCATAAATTCAAGCTCCCGCACATCAAAAAAGTGTTTAGAACACTGCTGATTCCTTTTTTTGAATATGCCTGGGCATTAGCAGAAGCAATTTGGTTTAAATTACGTATATCACTCTTCCTCGTACATCCAACAAAGTCATTGCCTTCTCGAAGAAAAACAAGTCAATTACCATAACCACGCTCATGACTGGTGGTTCTGGTCAGAGCAAAGCCTGCGTATTCCACCGTTTTTATTGCCAAATATATTTAGACTTACTATTGATATTTGATCCATCGTAAGATGCAACTGATTCCAAAGGTCGCTCTAAAGCCAAAAGAAATGAGGTTAAATGGTAAGCACTAGAATAGACGTATCCGAGGTCTTGAATTTGACACAACTTTTTCTCAAACTTTAATCAAATACTGATTACTTTAAATTGGACTAAGGAGATCTAAAAGGCCTCTGTATTTTTTTCACCGGCTCTAAAACCGTAAAATCACCAACCAGTTCAGCATACAGACAATGCAATTGTTGACAGTAGGAATGTTGCATTGGGTATGAACTACTGTGCAAAGGTATTTTCGCGTGGTAGTGTTCTGCACCCCTTACCACCTTTCACAAGATTAAAAGCAAGAAATTCTCTGATTAGTATACTGTACTCTAATTTACGGGTTTAATGCAAATATGTTACAATTATCCCGCTTACAGCCAAAGCGTATTCGGAAATGAAATCAGTTTTGCTGGATTGCATTACCACTGATAGTTGATAGTTGATAAATGCAATCATAAACGCATTACTGTAGAGGAACATTGGGGCCGACTTGTCTTGGAAAAACTTTAATTAGTCATGGAAAATTTGAAGAACTTTGCAACACGATGGAACAAGCTGAAAGGTCCGGGTTTGCACAACACAACTTTAGTATTTACGTACAAATCTTTTGTTTAATAATTTTCTCAAGATTTGTTGTGGATGGAAGTCAGTTTAAAATAATGTCTCGCGGTATAAGCAAAGTCTTAAATGAATAATATCTGTAAATGTGTGAGTGTCTTTAACATGGCTGTAGGAAGTATCAATAACGCTTCACAAGGATAGTTATTTCCATGTTGCATTAACCCATAAGCTTACTTTCTATGCGAGTCCAATCATCGTCACTAGCTTGATGGCCGCCAGTTGAGGGGATGAGTTCAGAGGGACTGCAAATCAGCCGATTCGTCCTCCCGTTCTCAGTGTTAGACTTAGCTCTCAGTGGACTTGGGGGGCAGCTGTTGTGGAACCCACTCTTGGGGAGCCCCTTATGAAACCATGCTCCTGATCTCTTCCATACCTACAAGTTGGAGTTTGTCACTATTTGTCTAATAATCCCTTCGTGAGGTTTCTTTTAAAGAGATCCATTTTACCAATGAAGCGACCGTTTTGATACAGACAAACAACAATCTTTGCGCCCTCAAGACCTAAACAGCTTTTCAAGAACACTGCATTGAAAAGCGACACTTTTTTTAGGTTCGAGATTTACTAGGGAAGGTAGTTAATACTAGTAGCATTGGTGCCACCTAAGGCACATTGTGCTGTAATAAATTTTGTAAAAGGATTCTGTTCATCCCAATTAAAGCACTGCTTAGCTGTTAACCGGATGGCAACACAGGGGTGTCTTTTGGACTAGCTTTTAGATACTGACTTCCTCTTTATCTGCTGTAATTACAATAAAGAACGAATGCTGCGTGTGTACATTTGACCTTCAATTTCAAGTCCCATCTGCAGTAAGTTAAACTGTTGGATGGTTAAAAGGCTTATACTGTATGACTTTATACTGCCTTATTGCATGGTGCTGCCACATTTGTCAATCAAAAATTGAAAATTTTTGGTTTTTTGCTCTATTTGTGTTCTAATTTCGTAATATCTGACATTTTTTTCTTAATTCCATAAAAAGCACTAATGTCTTGTTAAGGAACCGAAGCAAATATTTGTTTAACTTAGCGTGTTCTTGTGAATTAAAGTGGTGCCTTTTAGGTTTATTCCCTACCCTTACCTTGGATATTGCAAGCAATTTGAATGCGCCTGCTAAACGAAATGAGTTGTGTTTCCATGAGTAAATACATTGCAGTCTAATAGAAACGTTTTGTAATTTGTGAGTGGTTCAGCTTGTGTTCAGTGAGCTTATTCCATAGTGTTTTTTTTTCGAATATTGGATATGCATCCTTCAGATCAAACACTTTACTCTTAGAGAATCAATTTAAAGTTCTTAATAATGGATTAGAGGATATTCAGAGGGAACTGTTACCATTTTAGGTGCAAAGACTAATTTCAAAATCATAAAGACATTTAGAGTGGCCTTTGATCGTATTGATATTTCAGAGCGTGTTAGATGACTGCTTACTTCTCTGGCCTCACAACAAAGCTTGCACAAGTGAAACCGATGTCCAGCTGGTGAAAGTGTGGGCTTGGGACTGAGCGAATATGGGAATGAGAAGAGGTTTGATAGCCGTGGTAGTGACCGGCGTCTCTCAAGTGAGAACGATTTGTGCTTTGTCCTGCCGCCAACCCTATCATTGTAAGGTGAATGGTCTCGTGAATCGGGACCCCCGTTCGATGTATCGCGCTGCTCTGACAGTTGTCGTGACTGCCAGAGCCGCTGTAGAACCCTTGAACTCCTTTGCCGATTTACCGAGACGTCTATGGAACCAGGTGGTAGGTAACGCGAAGGCGAAATGTTGGAGGCGTGTGCCACTGGTTTTATCTTATCCGTCGCCTCCTCGGTAAACTCCATTGAACAACGAGTGCAGACGAGGCGGCCACAATCGGCGCAGTGTGTAGAAGACTTAAGCAGAAGACCAAATTCATGACCACAGATGGCACAAGCTGTTTTAGTGTGTGGCACCGAAGCCGTCTTCATATTTTCCAAACGTCGTAACATCGACCTAAGCAAGTTAAGGTTTGATTTACTATCAATAAGAGGTGTCATTCTTTCAAGATAGCAATTTCAACTTCTTACGACAAGTTCGGCAGGATAAATAATTCAAAAAATTGGCCTTAAACAGATGGTGTGAGATTATGTAATAATGTCCTGACTTAACCTTACAATTACCCCTGAAAAATTTTGTCTAAATACGTTACAAATATATATTCTTAAAAAAACATTAAAGTATACAGAAATTCTCGGTTCTAGGCTGAAAAAAAATTTAAAATTTTTGGTTGATACGGTTTCCGCAGCAATCACAATGGAATGGTAAAATATTAGGCGATTTTGTACCAAATATTTATTGTCATTAATTAGATGGATTGCGAGCTGCCACAGAGAGAATGCATAAAGCGCTGCCACGCATAATGACAAACCACCTAAATAGATATCGCATGGTGCTTACTCGATACGTCGATTTTCGCGCTCATTAACGTATTCATTGCGCTGAAGTACACGATAAATGTGATCCAGTTCCTCGTTGGACAATTTTGCATTTGTTCGCCTCTGGTTCGCCTGAGCGACCGTTGACCAACCCGTTCCGAGTCTAAATAATATGATCATGAAGGGAAAAGCTGCAACATTCGCTGATACGGACATTTTGTTCAGATTTAAGTGTGCATTAATTCGCTTTTTGAAATAATTTAAACAAAGATCTTGAAGACCGGAACTTTCTACAGCCCCAGACCTAATAAACATTGAAGTATTGATTAAATTAAATCTGCTATAAAACTGAATTATTTCATTTTGATTCGTTTTTTGCATTTTCTTATATTAATAAGATTTGGTGGCGTTTGAAAAGATTCCAAAAAGCCGATTACGGGTTCTTGATATGTCGATGTGGAAGTAAACGAGTGCGAAGCTTCATGTGAAACTTTTGATTTAGAATGCCGACTGCACACCTCCAACCAGTGTTAATGTATCGTCGACCTCTATTAATTCCCTTAGAAAGAAAGACCCATTTCATGTAGGTTTCCCTCGAGAGCAGCAAACATTTGTCACTTCGACATTAATGCAATTTTTATCGCAATGCAGCCACTTAAAAACAAAGCCCCATCTATGCTTGATTTAATTTTAATTTTTGTTGAATGCAGTCTCACATAAATCTAGCTTTATTTATGGATTCTATGATCTTACACTTAAATTAAAAAACAAATTTTATTCTTGAATCCCAAGTTCTTAATTAACTGAGGGATAAAGAATTGGTTTCAAGGAATTTGGCTTCCAGGAACAACAGTGCTTGACAAACTCCATGCTTTTAAGGAGTGTTGGAGCTTCCTTTATTTTGGGTTGTTTATCTGTGATCCCTATTTTTTTTCCTTTTTTAAAAGTCTATGCAATTTATTTACTTGAGTTGACAGCAGTCTAAAATTTTTTTCTTTCGTGAATAAGTAAAATTTAACGCAGCGATTCAGGTACCTGGCCCGCAGGGTTAATTGGCGGTCATTTGGACAAATGTATCCCTCCATGAACTTGATGCAATGCAAGTGGAGATGCTTAGGTGTAGAAAGTCCCTGAGGCAATGCGCCCAAATATTTGCGCTACACCTGCAATTAATGATAGGAACATAAGATTCGTGGTTGGATATTAAAGAATGCCTAGGTCAAATTACGTTAATGAAGGGCTTCTGGTTTAAAAAATTCTAATGGCTTGCGAAAATCCTTTGAAGTAGAATGTATTCTGTGTGTTAGCGGAATGCTTGCATGTTCATATCTCTACACTTAGAATTCGTAAGTTTTCATCATTTTGGCGGAAGGCCCAAATGACCTGAAGACACCTGAGCTAAGCTCTTTGACGTGAGTCTGGTTTCCCCGAACAGAGCCCTGACTGATTTTACATCGACCACCTAAATATCATCCTTTATTCACACGTTACCACTGTGCAGCAGTCGGTACCAAAACCACAGCTTTCACGTTATAGACCTTTTGGTGGATAGTCCACAATGTTTTTTTTTCAAAAATCTCCTATAAAACCCTGAACGTAATTAGGCATATTTTTGTGCAAAATCCGGATTTTTTGATAGACCATGATATTTCTGCAATCTTTGTTTAAGTAACTTGTTCGATACGTGAAAGTTACACCTTGCAAACAAACTTGACACAGGCCTGAAAAACAGATGTTGAGTGCCAATAGCGATCCAAAACTCTTGAAATGGTAAAGACACTAAAGTTGCGGGACAATGCGGACACACAAACTCTGACCTCTTGTCTCCAAAGTGTAACATTTTGAGAGGTAGGTGTTATTGACTTCTTGACCCATTAAATAATGTGTGGTTGGTTTTTGGGATATTGAAATGAGCAGAGATGTTTATTCTAGATATTATACCTGTTTGCTACTTAAAATACACATCTAGAGGCTTATAAATGAAATAGGACAGGCTTTCTAAGAGCGGTTCTTGTTAACTTTTAGTCCTTCAAACGGATGGTGATCATTTCTAACGTGATTGCCGAACAAAGGGTCGCTGCATTCAAGGTAAATGTAGGGGTTTTAATAGATGTAAAAATTTCATTCCTAATAGCTCTATACGATATCAAAAGAATACCAAGTATTATATAATGTTAAAGTTTTAATCTTAATGCAGAGTTCCTTCAGAGCAGTGCGTGTGAGAAACAAGTATTCAAAAATAACACTTTAGCTTTAAGTGACATGCCTCGTTAAATTAGCTGAGGCAAAATTCGTGTGTGAAACAACTCATCACCCCCTTGATTTAATTAAAACACTTCTTTACGACGCGTTTTATGCAAATGAGGTCAATCTCTATGAACTCTCAATTTAAAGCTATATCTTTACCCGTTGTCCGATTAGATGTGGAAATTTCTTGGTTGGTATAAATCCAGATTTACATCCTATTTATGGAATATTAATTGAATGCTGAGTAATAAAATAAGTTCCGCTGCATGTACACTGCTGTTGTCGTCTCCCAAACTTTCTAAATCTATGTTATTTTTAGCATGGACCGAAACTCGAGCATGAAAAGTAACGTTAAAATTTAATACACAGAAGTGACGTGAAGTTTGTGGATCAGCGTGATCCCATTAAACTGAGCGCTAATGATAAATTGTGAAAAGTGCTTTAGTGGCCAAATACTGTAAAGGCAGTTCTCAAAATATGGGTTTGTCATAATCAACATCGTCGCTCCTCAAAAAGGCAAAGCAAATCGGACGTTATTAGGTTTTTCTGAATTAACCATTTTGTCTTTCGAAAGACATGTTAGGTGTTTCGTCAAGCGTTCAGGTAAAATCGAGGAAAGAATAAAGAACTAAAACAGCCATGTATTTGTCCTATTGTAATTAATTCCAATTATTTACACAAGAAAAGAATTAAGGCCATCCAGGGTGAGGAATTACCCCGCTTGAATCAGTCATTTTTTAATGAATCACCAATTTGTAGGTTAAACAGTGGCAGCTCTAATAGTACCGGGTGTGCTGGCAGATTAAATCAGGCTTTTTGCAAACGGCGCGATTTGTCATGTGCCCCGCGTGCTTGCCCACTTCAGTTTAGCCCTCCGTTTCATAAATTGAAGCATGAATGTTTTAATTAACAATGCATTATGCTTAAACAACCCTGAAGCTGCAATGTACGAGGGTGTCACTTTTACTATCCAAGTAAAGACCACAAATCTTAACGTGACCATAATTGTTTTCAAAATTTAATAGCCATACCGTGTCTTTTATGCAAAATGTGGTTGCTCTCACGATGCATCTATGCAATAATATTGTTACTTTCGACACGATCTTATTGAAAGAGGCTAATACGCATCCGTTACTGTTAAATGAGGTTGCAACAAGCACTTGAGGAAATTGCAAACAGAAAAGTATGCAACCCTTTTATTACTAGGATTGAAATTCTGCCGAACAATTAATTTTGCTGCTTAAAAACTGGCGACTCTTGCTCAAGCATATTTTTATCCGTTATTACCTTTACAAAATTTTCCATGCTTGAAAAAAAAGCATGTGCAACATTTTGGATGTGGCTCTGAATGAAGAGATTTGTAAATAACCATGTAAACCTATTATTCGAAATTCGCTTTTAAGGATGAGTATACCTTAGACCAACTCTAACGGGTATTGATTAAGCTTCTAAAATTCGATTTCTGTGGTATCAGAGACAAGTCATAATGTGAATAATTCTCAATTAGCCTAATGCTATGCTTACAGGGATTTAACGTCGTGGATGTTAGTGCAACAGTCAAAATTTGTTGCACACATGAAACCTCAAATGCTTAGCGCAAGCATCACTAAGCGCCCTTTTAATAAATTTGCTATGCATGAAGATAAAACAGATCATATATGCAGTCGCTATTCAGAAATGATGCTTGGCTGATTTCAACCAGACGTCGGACTGTCACAAAATTCAGTGCACTCAGAATGGGACAGAAAGTTTGAAAAGTGTGTAATTACTATGATTTCTTGCACAATGACAAAACTGCTAATGTTACGAGTTATGCAGATTTACACATGACCCAAGCAATGTTGTTTTTGACCTTTTAATAGATAAATTGAGCATAAGCAACGAAAAAGACGAGGCTCCAGGCATCTAGTTGTTCAACAACAGGCATCCCTAGCTTTGACGGTATGTCTTATCAAATTTTGTTCAGATTCACTACAGACAGATTGCCACCTGCTGCGCACACCACAGAAAGCTTGAAATGGTTAGTAATTCTAATGCAGTGAACGAGTGAAGGCGATTACTGTGTGTACCTTATGTACCTTATGTCTGTCCATTCTTTGGGGTTCTCATTACCTTGGTTTCAATATTTAAAGGCTACTGGACACTTTGTATGTATGAAGTCTTTCACATGAACGTTATTCAAATCCGAATTGAATATATCTTGCAAGTTATTCTAGCAATCAGCCACGGCATATTTTGCCTGAGACTCCAGAGCACATTGAAGCGTCAAACACTTTAAGAACAATTATTCCTTCCGAAAATTTACGTTTTATTTACTGATGCTTCTGAAATGTCCATTTTTGTCGAAACTTCAAGGTAATAAAATGACCGCTTAAATGGCACACGGGAAAACTCTTTTAGCTGGAAACTTAATAATTTTGGGATGAAAGACTACATTCCCTGTACTATGCCTCGCTGATGATTATTTCACTGTTAGATTTATGTACCGATTTTCTAATGAGAGCCCTGATATCTTGTTTAATGCACTGAAGATCCACAAAAACAGCAAAATGATTCAGGTGGCGATTTTTACATGATGGAAGGCAGCCAAACTCCTTCGCCGTGGCTTTAATGTTGGTCAAATTGCTCTACCAGAAAGGCAGCAGCGGCAGAAATGACAAATGTTCTCAACGTTGACTTCACCAAGTTTCAAAATATGCAGATAAAATCGACACCCTTAAACAGGACATTTGGACTAGCAGCCCCTTAATGACAATTGCATAGCTTTAATATATAGAGCACAACTTTAAGCCACCTAATTACATATTAATATTTATTACCTGTCTCGGTAACTTTAAGCTCAATGTGAAATGCACTTACGTCGTTATAGTAGGTAGATTCGTTTGCTGTATTCTAATACGTTGTCAAATTATCACGGATCACTTCGACCAGTACCCAATTAAATACATCAATTGCCTAAAAGTACGGGA